AGAGCTCAGGACTTACTCCTGGCTGTACACTCAGGATCACTCTTAGAGGTGCTCAGGGGACCATATGGGGTACCGGGGAGTGGGTCACGGGCCAAATACATGCAAGAAAAACACCCTACCTGCTGTACTATTACTCCAGTCCTGGAGTTGAATCATTAAGACACCTTTGAAGTTCATATCCTGCAGAGTTCAACTATGTTTTTCTTGGTTTAATGAATTCTCGTCTAATCTTGAGATAGTGAATCCACTTGAGTTTACTTTTGTGTATGATGTAGGATGGGGTCCAGTTTCTTTTGTCTCTTTATTATTATTATTATTATTATTGTTATTATTTTGCTTTTTAGGTCACACCCGGCGATGCACAGGAATTACTCCTGGTTCATGCACTCAGGAATTACTCCTGGAGGTGCTCAGGGGACGATATGGGATGCTGGGAATCGAACCCAGGTCAACTGCGTGCAAGGCAAACGCCCCACCCGCTGTGCTATCGCTCCAGCCCAATTTATTAATTTTTTTTATGCCTGTGGCTATCCAGTTTTCTCAGAACTACTTATTAAGCTTTCCTTCCTCCACTTTATGTAGCAAATTCCTTTGTCATTGATTAACCATTCTTATATCTGAGGATTTGTCTCTGGGCTCTCAAGGATTTTGCAACATTAGTGTTTGTGTAAAAATACTTGAAAAATCTCAGCTTGATGTCCTCAAATGTTGCTTCTATCTGATTCTATCATCTCATCCATCTTCCATACTGCATAACTTTGCTTTTATATTTCCTGTCTTTGAGTTCTGAACTGTATTCTGGATAATTTCCAGTTCTTCCATTCTTATATAATCTGTGAATTCAGGGGGCGAGGGGGCAGGGTATCAGGGACGGAAAGAGGGCCTCACACGAGAGGCAGTGAGGGACTGAGCCCCATCTCCAACTCATTCACCAGGTTTCAAATCATTTTCTTTTCATTTTATTTTATTTTTTGACTTTTTGGGGTCACACCCAGCGACACACAGCGGTTACTCCTGGCTCATACACTCAGGAATTACTCCTGATGCTGCTCGGGGAATCATATAGGATGCTGGGGGTCGAACCCAGGTTGGCCACGTGCAAGGCAAACGCCCTACCCTCTGTACTCCCGCTCCAGCCCCTCATTTTCTTTTTTGTTGTTGCTGTTATTTTGTTTATGGACCACCCCCCACCAGTGCTCTGGGGCTGCTGGACACTCAGGGACCGTGTGGTGCTGAGGCAATCACACCTGCGTATCTCACAAACACATCATGTGCTCCAGCCCCCTGGATTATCTTTCTGGCCCCTCTTTCTTTTCCTGATTTACCCACATTATATCTGTCTCTCCTTCAAATTGACTTTTGGGGGGCCGGAGTGATAGCACAGCGGGTAGGGCGTTTGCCTTGCACATGGCTGACCTGGGTTCAATCCCTGGCATCCCATATGATCCCCCAAGCACCACCAGGAGTAATTCCTGAATGCAGAGCCAGGAATAACCCCTGAGCATCGCTGGGTGTGACCCAAAAAGCAAAAAAAAAAAAAAAAAAATTGACTTTCAGTCAATTTTAATGCTCTTATTCTTTCTTTTGTTGTTGTTTTTATTTGGGGCCGGAGTCTCAGGATTTGCTCTGGTTCTGTACTCAGGGGTCACTCCAGGGGGCTTGGGGTCCGCATGGGATGCCAGGGACTGAACTTGAGTTAGCTGCGTGCAAGTCAAAGGCCCGACCCTCTGTACTATCTCTCTGGCCCTTAAAGGTCCTTATTCTTAATTACCTAGGGTCATGAAGTTCCAAGGACAGGTGCCTCATATTTCCCGGGGACATTAATTGGGGAATCACCGCTCATTACCCAGTCATTGCAGAAACTGCAAGTGGCCTCTAAAGGACTGTTTGTAGGTCCGATGAGGCGCCTGCTTTGCCAATCCACAGCTGGCATCACACAAGAAGACAAATGCCCTTCCATATGCTACCTGTGAGATCGCTGCTGCCGTATTGCCCTTTAAGCGTGGGACATTGGGCCAGAGAGACAGGATGTGGGCTAAGGCGCTTGCCTTGCCTGAGGCCAACCCGGGTTCAAAACCATAGCAGGGCATATGGTTCCCCCAAGCACTTCTGAGGATCCTGGAGCCAGAAACAACCCCTGAGCATCATCGGGTGTGGCCCCAAAACAAACAAGCCGAGGTTAGAATTACAGTATGCGACTGTAAGGAGATGAAAAACTATATCCTAAATTTGGACTGAAAAAAAAATATATATATACAGAGAGTGACAATTATGCAGTGAAATGTGGCACTTTCGTGCCAACTCTGCCTGTTGGAAAAGCTACGTTCTAATTTTATCCAATTCGAAGTTCCTTTCACTGGGTTGTGTACTATCTTCATAGTTCCAGGAGTGGAAGCGTGGAGATTATTCTAGTCCACCATGAGGGAACTGGGAAGGCCCTTGGATGGAGAGGAGGCCCCAGTTCCAGTTGCGTCCCCTGAGTGGCCCAGCCCCTGTCCTCCACACGGGCCATGGCCACTAAAGCCCTGAGCTCCGAGACCCCCACAGTCGTGGATTTCACACACTGGCCCGCAGAGATCACGGGCTTTTCCTCGCCTTTCCTGCATCCAGACCCTCCATGTCTGTGGGGTCAGTGCAAGCACAGAGAAACGAGGCATTTCTCAGCAGCTGGCCTGCTCGCAAGCTTCATCCCTTTCCGAGCCCCTCGGGCAGCCCCTTGGCCCGGCTGCAGCCAGGTTCCCACAGAGGTGAGACCCTGAATGTTGGTCAGCCAGGGGCTCCCAGGCCCTGTCCTCTCCTCCCAGCTTGCTCAGGAAGTGGATGTCACCCTGACAAGTTGTCTGGAACCTGGTCAGCAGCATGGGAAGTCCAGTCTTTTTTTATTTGCTTTTTGGGTCGCACCTTGCGATGCACAGGGGTTACTCCTGGCTCTGCACTCAGGAGTCACTCCTGGCAGTGCTCAGGGGACCATATGGGATGCTGGGAATTGAACCCGGGTCGGCCGTGTGCAAGGCAAATGCCCTACCCGCTGTGCTATCTCTCCAGCCCATTGGAGGTCCAGTTTTAGTCAGAGGGCTGGACACTGTTCAGTGCTGGTCTCTACCCCACCGCCCCAGGTTGGGGAGTCATGTCTCTGCCCGGGGCCCTTGGGATATTTATAACCTCATTCGTGGGCCCCGGCAGACGGTGAGAAGCATCTGGGTCAGCCCCATCATGGACTAGGGCCGGGCTGTGGGATTCTGCGACACTCTGGGGCCTGCTGGCTGGGTGCTCCCCACACGTGCTCCCCGCACCTGCCCTAGTCCATCAAACCCCTGATGGTTTGTCTACCTCAGAGGGACCCTCGGCTGGGTGGGGTGTTGCCTCTGTCAAGGAAGTCACATCAACATCTCATGCCAAACCTATTCAGACACTTCTGCCCTGGGCTCATGACTGGGCCTCTCTTTGGCCATTTTCCTATACTCAGGGTCAGACACTGTCACTGTCTTCCCTTTGTTCATCAGTTTGCTTGAGCGGGCACCAGTAACGTCTCCATTGTGAGACTTGTTGTTACTGTTTTTGGCATATCGAATACGTCACAGGTAGCTTGCCAGGCTTTGCCATGCGGGCGAGATACTCTTGGTAGCTTGCTAGGCTCTCTGAGAGGGCTGGAGGAATCAAACCCAGATTGGTTGCGTGCAAGGTAAACGCCCTACCCGCTGTGCTATGCTCCGGTCCCAGGGTCAGACAAGCTTTAAAAAGCAGACGGGGGGGGTGGGGGGTGGGGGTGGAGCAATAGCACAGTGGGTGGGGCGTTTGCCTTGCACGCGGCCAACCGGGGTTCGATTCCCAGCATCCCATGTGGTCCCCCGAGCGGCGGCCGGGAGTGATTCCTGAGTGCAGAGCCAGGAGCAACCCCTGAGCATCGCCGGGTGTGACACACACACACACACACACACACACAAAAAGCAGACCGTTGGGCCAGAGCAACAGCACAGTGGGGAGGGCGTTTGCCTTGCATGCGACCACCCTGGGATCCCTGGCATCCCATATGGTCCCCAGAGCATAGCTAGGAATGATTCCTGAGTGCAGGGGCAGGAGGAGCTCCTGAGCATCACTGGGTGTGGCCCAAAGGAAAAAGAAAAATGAACCGAGGTCCCCTCCTAGGCATCCAGCCCCGCTGTGGCCTGTTGTCCAGGCGCTTAGGGCATGTCTGGGTTCCCCCCCCCGGCACAGGGATCTAGGTCAACGCACAGCTGTTCCGTTGACCCTGCTGAGTGCTGGTCTCCGGTCTGAACCAGAAGCCGGCCCCAGGCACGTTACAAGAACCCCAGCCTGCTTTCCAGTTTGTGAGAAGCACGGACCAGGGCTGTTTGCTGCTCTGCACGCGTGTCCGACCCTCTGCGCGTGCCCCCATCCCTCTGCTCATGTCTCCGTCCCTCTGCGCGCGTGTCCTTGTTCCTCTGCGTGCGTCTGTCCCTCTGTCCGCATCTCTGTCCCTCTGCCCCCATCTCATCCCTCTGTCCACGTGTCCATCCCTTGGCATGTCCCCCCACCCCCACCCCCACCCCGTGTTTCTGCTTTCGCCATCTGGCCTCTGAGCTGGTTTCCACTGGAACATGAGTGGGTGGGCCTTGCTGGACTGGCAGTCCTGGACCCGGGGGAGGGGTTCCTCCCGCTTCTGCCCAAGACATCATGGATCTGGAGTCAAGTTTTCTTTTCTCTTCTTGGTTTTGGGGCAGTGCTCCAGGCCTACTCCTGGCTGTGTGCTCAGAGATCACTCCTGGTGGGGTTTGGAGGACCATATGGGGATGAGGAATCAAACCAGGGTTGGCTGCACACACTGTACTATCTTCCCAGCCCCTGAGATTAATGTGGACCCAGTTCCATGGTGGGCTGCAGATGTCTGCAGGAGGGGCGGCAGGGAGGGAAAGCATTTCTGACCCATCACCGAGTCCACCAGGTGCTAACAGACACCCCTGCCCCTCCCTCATCTCCCTGACTCTCTTCTAATTCCAGTGACAAGAATGACGTCGCCTTTGATGATGAGACTATTAGCGCTGCTGTTCCTGCCACTGGGCCAGGCTGCTCCCAAGGAGGGAGCTTTGAGGAGGTAACAAGATTCGGGAGTCAGAAGTACCAGGGTATGGAGGGGTGAATACTAAGAGCAGTAGAAAGGGCTGACAGCAGTGACAAAGTGGCTGCAGCTGCTCCTGCTACCTTGCTGGCATCACAGGCCTTCACTGACTCGAGCAGACAGACAACCCTGTCCAGAATCCAGAACACATCTTGACAGATGGGGCGGAGCTCCTCAGCCCACTGAACCCCAAACACCAACATACATGCCCTCGGCTTGGGTGAAAACGGGGTTCTGGTGTGGGTCAGCAGCCAATAGGGTGCGTGCAGAACTGGTCTGTGCTGAAATGCAGCTAGAGCCCGAGGAAGACTCCTGCCCACAAGGCTCCATGTCCCAGTGCTCTTCCCTGGTGACCAGCTGGTGTGGCCTCCCTGATCGCTACCAACCAGATGTTTTCTTTCTTTCTTTCTTCCTTTCTTTCTTTCTTTCTTTCTTTCTTTCTTTCTTTCTTTCTTTTGTGAATAAATGGAGTATATTTGGAGGGTTTTTAAGGTGTGGATGGGGAGAGAGTGAGAGAGAGAGAGAGGGTAACGCACTCAAGAGAGAATACGGGCTTCTCCAAGGGCTGAGAGAGCCGCTATATACATCCTAGCATTAGACACGAAAGCATGAAAAGTACACATCTCAAAAAAAAAAAAAAAAAAAAAAAAAAAAGAAAAGTACACATCTCAAGAGTGAGATGTGGGCAACACATGTGCTTGGGCACCACATGTGCTCGGCCACATGGGCACAAGCAACACATAGGCTAGGGCAGCATATATGCGTTTTTTTTTTTCTTTTTGGGTCACACCCGGTGATGCTCAGGGGTTACTCCTGGCTTAGCACTCAGGAATCACTCCTGCGGTGCTCGGGGGACCATATGGGATGCTGGGAATCGAACCCGGGTCGGCCGCGTGCAAGGCAAATGCCCTACCGCCGTACTATCAATCCAGCTCCCTGGATGTTTTCTTGGGGGGCTTCACTTCACCCCTAAGTTAGGTTTCACCAGGGGGAGCAAGCCGGGCTCTGCTGACGCCCAAATGATGGGAACTGGGCTGAGCAGAGCCGCCCTGGGGTGGGGGAAAGTGGGAGGTTGGGCCAGGGGGTGCCCTGAAGGGCTGGTCCTCCCCTCCCTCCTCCAGGCCCGACCCTGAAGAGCAGCATCAGCCTCTGCCCAACCCCTTCCAGCCCGGCCAGGAGCGGCTCCGGTGAGTGGGGGGCTGGGAACCCGGGCTGGGGTGCGCATGGCAGGGACCACCCCTTTGCCTGTTCCTGACAGGCTCCTGCAGCGCTACCTGAAGGGCCTGGAGCGGATGGACGAGGAGCCGGAGCACATGAGCCGCGAGCAGGGTGAGGGCCGGGCGCAACGGGCCTCCCGCCTCCCTCTGTGCCCACAACCCTGACCCCGCCCTTTCCCCCACCCCACAGTCCTCCTCTACCTCGTTGCCCTCCACGACTATGACCAGAGTGGCCAGCTGGACGGCCTGGAGCTGCTGTCCCTGCTGATGGCAGCGCTGGCCCCGGGAGCTGCCAACGCCCCGACCCCTGACCCGGTGAGGCTTGGGGGTACGGGCGTTCCCGGCATGAGGAGGCACAGCCCTGGCCTTCGCGGTGACCCTGGGCTCCCACAGGTAATCCTGCTGGTGGACCAGGTGCTGGAGACCCAGGACCTGAACGGGGACGGGCTGATGACTCCCGCGGAGCTCATCAACTTCCCAGAAGAGGCTCCGAGGCATGCAGAACCCCAGGCGCCCCACGCGGAGGGCCAGCAACCCCTTTTCACCGAGAGCCCCCCGGGACAAGGCGTGCAAGAAGCCCAGGTGCCCGAAGATCAGGCCAGGGGACAGGCAGAAGCCGAAGGAGGGCCCCCGGGCCCAGAAGGGGCAGTGGGGGGCCACCCAGAGGCCGAAGGACCCCCAGGCCTGGAAGGGAGGGCTGGGGGCCACGCAGAGGTTGAAGAACCCCCAAGCCCAGGAGGGGAGACCTGGGACCACGCAGAGGCAGAAGGACCCCCGGGCCCAGAAGGCGGGGCTGGAGGACCCCCAAGCCCGGGAGGAGAGGTTGGGGGCTATGCAGAGGCCGAAGGACCCCCAAGCCTGGGAGGAAGGCCTGGGGCACAAGAAGAGGCGTTGGACACTAGAGGGGAAGCAGAAGAGCTTCCAGGGGGTGCCCTGGCACCCAAAGGCACCCCGGAAGAGGTTGAGGTGCACGATATCCAGGTGGAGAATGACGAGATGTGAATCCAAGGAGTCGGGGCACCAGAGCCTCGGCGCCGAGGGCTGGCAGGGACTGTCCCCGTGTCCCCATCTTGGCGCCCACAGGGACCTGCTCGGGGAAACCGTACGCGCAGGGTGGCATCCCAGCCGCCAGCTAATAAAGAACCGAGTGAACTCAGGCCCTGCCAACGTCCTCCAAGGCCCCTCTCAGGGAAGCTGGGATTCGGGGTCCCCAGTGGGTGCTGAGACCCACAGAGCTCACGACTACAGCCCGCTGCAGGGGGCGCAAAGGGGACCCCAATCCCCATCACCCTCCCTTGACCGCGCTCACTGTCCATCCCACATTTGCCGCACGGGGACAAGCCCCATCAGACAGAGGATGCAACCACGGGGACCAAGTTCAATACAGACCCGTCTGACAGGCCTAGAAAAATAATAGGGGGCTTAGGCGCCCCTGGCACTGCATAGGGTCCCTCGAGCATTGCCTGGAGTCACCCTTTAACCCAGAGCCAGGACGAAGCCCTGGGCTTGTCTGCTGTGGCCAAATAACTCTCCTCTCCCCAACCCCCAAATAAAAGAACTTACCCCATGGGCTGGAGCGATAGCACAGCGGGTAGGGCGTTTGCCTTACAAGCGGCCAACATGGCCGACCCGAGTTCGATTCCTCCGCCCCTCTCGGAGAGCCCGGCAAGCTACCGAGAGTATTCGATATGCCAGACACAGTAACAACAAAGTCTCCAATGGAGACGTTACTGGGCCCGCTCGAGCAAATCGACGATCAACGGGAGGGCCTTTACCTTACCTTTACCCCATGGGTTAGGGACTGGCCCTTCAGGCTGACCCAGGCTCTGGCACCCTCCAACAGGGGGAGACATTTGTTTTCATTTATTTTTTGTTGGGGGCCACACCCAGCTGTGCTTGGTGGGCTGGGAAGACCATCTGGGACACTGGGGATTGAACCCGAGTCCACCATGTGTGAGTCAAGCACCCTCCTCACTGTCCTATCCCTGCAGAGGATTTTGCCTTCCCTCCTTGCCGCTCGCGGGCTGGGGACAGTCCCTGTGCAGGCAGATGACTGGAAGAGACCACCAAGTCACACAGCAGGCTCCAGGGGCCACTTTGGTGGGCAGGGAGCTTTTCTCCGGGGCAGAGGCCAGCCAGTCCCTTCCCCCGCAGGAAGGCAGTGTCCCTGCCAGTCGTCGTTGGCAGCCACCCTGCGCTGGGAAGACCCCGCCCGCTCCCAGCTCCTGGGGTGCCCCGGAGCCGCGAGGGGGGATGGTTTGGGGAGTGAATAAGAAGGCCAAGGGCTGGGCGGCTTTGGCACCCAACATGCCAACACGTGGAGAGGAAACGGGAGGGTGGGGAGGCGGTTTATTTGCTCTGCCACAGCACAGCAGGGCCAGGTGGCAGAACGGGCGGCCCGCAGCCCGCACCTGCCCCGTGCAGGCCAGTGACGCCAGCCTCGCCGAGGGTCGCTCACACGATGCCGTCGTAGCCCTGCAGGCCACACTTCTTGCCGGCCACCTGGCAGCCGAACCGCAGCGCCTCCTGCACGCTCTTCCCTGCAGGGGACGAGGGCCCGGGTGAGGCTGGTCCCCCTGGGCAGCAGCCGCCCTGCCCGCCCCTCCTGCGGGGGCTCACCCTGCGCCAGGCTGAAGATGACGGCCGCGTTGAAGGTGTCCCCCGCGCCCAGCGTGTCCACCACCCGCGGCGGCGGGAAAGCGTCCGAGTGCAGCAGCTTCCCGTCGGGGCCCAGCGCGCTGGCGCCCTGCTCCGCCCAGGCGCAGATCAGCGTCGCCCTGGGACACGCGGCGGCGGTCAGGCGCGCTGCGACCCCCGCCCGGCAGCCCCTGGCCCCGCTGCCCCCAGCTCACCCTTTCCGCACGCGGCCGTACAAGCCCTTCAGGGCCTCCTCTGCGGACCCGAAGCCCAGGTACTTGGCCACGTCTTTGCTGACAAACACCTGCGGGCGGGCAGGGGGAGACAGGCGGCCTGTCACCCCACGCCCACGCCCACGCGCGCCCCGAGCCCCTCGTGGGCCCACAGGGACACCCTTTCCTCCTCCTCGCCGGAGCCAGCCGGGGGAGACTGCACGCGCTCATCCCTGCAGGTGGCTGGGGACCAGAGGGGATGGTCTGAGCGCTCATCCCTGCAGGCAGGTTGGGGACCAGCCGGGAGACTGAGCGCTCATCCCTGCAGGCAGGCTGGGGGCCGGCTGGGAGGGTCTGCGCGTTCATCCCTGCAGGCAGGCTGGGGGCCGGCTGGGAGACTGTGCGCGCTCATCCCTGCAGGCAGGCTGGGGGCCGGCTGGGAGACTGTGCGCGCTCATCCCTGCAGGCAGGCTGGGGACCAGCGGGAAGGGTCTGCATGCTCATCCCTGCAGGCAGGTTGGAGGCCGACTGGGGGACTGCGCGCTCAGCGCTCGCGGCAAACCCAGGTGGGTCTGGAGCGCCCCCTTCCGGTGACATCTAGTAGTGGCAGTTACGCAGCCCCTGCGTTGGGTTCTGGTCTGTTCTGTTCTGTCGTGACCCTGGGCCCTTTAAGTCTTCTTTTCTTCATCATCTATTTTTAAGGGGGACCCAGGGGGGTGGGGCGACATAGGATACACCCCGCGATGCTCAGGGCTTACTCCTGGCTCTGCACTCAAGATCACTCCTGGCAGTGATCAGGGATGAACCCGGTCAGCCACGTGCAAGGCAAGCGCCCTACCCACTGCGGTCTCCCCAGTCCCGCTGTCTCTCGTCTTTAAAACAGAGCTTCCTCAGTACCAGTTACACTATACACTGCCTGAGAGAATTTTGTTTAAAACTGCCCCACACCCAAAATACTGCTGCCTAATCAAATAAAAAAGTGCCAGATGGGGTTATACTGGGCAGTAGAACATATGAGCCCAAGTGAGGTCCTGGGTTCAGTCTCCAGCACTGTCTCCCCTGTTCCCCCTAGAACAAAACCCCCGGCTGTGGGATTTAGGTACACACACACACACACACACACACACACACACACACACACACGAGGGGGAATGATTTGGGCCACAGCCAGTGGATCTGAGGGCCACTTTCGGTGCCCAAGGGCCACTCCCAGAGATGCTCAGGGGACTATGTGATGTCAGGAGCCAAATCACATGCAACACAAGCACCTTAACCCTGTACTATTGTCCCAGCCCATGAATTCATATTTTGGGGAGGGGGAGCCATGGTTTGGGGCCACCTGGTCATGCTCAGGGGCTACTTCTGGCTCAGGAGTGACCCCGGCAGAGTTCAGACCAAAACTCGTTGCAGGGGGTTGAACCTGGGATGCAGCCACATGCCGGACAAATAAATGCCTTACCTCTAGCTCTGCTTCTCTGGGGGAGACATTCACATTTCTTTTTTTTTTTTTTTTTTGCTTTTTTTGGGTCACACCTGGTGATGCACAGGACTTACTCCTAGTTCATGCACTCAGGAATTACTCCTGGCGGTGCTCCGGGGACCATATGGGATGCTGGGAATCGAACCCGGGTAGGCCACGTGCAAGGCAAACGCCCTACCCGCTGTGCTATTGCTCCAGCCCGACATTCATATTTCTTACATGTGAGTTAAAATGTAGCCCAGGCCGAGACCCACCCAGCCTGGCCTCTGATGCCAGGGTTATCGCCAGCCCCGCCTGCCCGCAGCTCCCCTGTGGCCTTCCTCACGCTCCCCGCCCCAGGGCTGGAAGACACCACTCTGCCACCTGACAGGTGACGTCTGAGGAGTCCCGGGGAGGAGACACAGCCCTGCGCAGGCTCCCTGAGGTGGCGGCCAGGGTGAGGCCAGAGGCTGCTCACCACGTCTCCGTAGCCAAACAGCTGGAAGAGCTCCTCGCGGGTCTTCTCCACCTCCACGGACACCCGGATCCTCTGGGCCAGAGGCTGCTGGGCATTGTGCTGTTCAATTCGCTGCAGCATCTTCACCTGCTCGGCCGCGTTCCGGCCCTGCAGTGGGGCCGGCCAGGTCAGGGGCAGCCATGTGTGCTGCGGCCGCCCTGACTCCTTCCCTCTCCACAGCAGTTCTGGGAGAGGGCGGCAGGGGCCGGAGGGCTGCAGCCCTAGGCAAAACCTTAATTCACAGCCTTCTGTGGTGGGGAGAGGGGCAGAGCAATAGTACAGTGGGTAGGGCATTTGCCTTGCATGCAGCCGACCCAGGTTCAATCCCCGGCACCCCATATGGTCCCCTAAGCACCACCAGGAGTAATTCTCGAGTGCAGAGTCAAGTCTCAAAATTCTAGAGCTGTTGTGGAGTTCATGCCCAATCCAATTAGTATAATCAATGGCTGAATAAATAGCAGTACTCCTACATTAAAAAAAAAAGAGAAAAATTCTAGAGCTGCTGTTACTTTATGGGTATTGTTTCTGTTCTGGGAGGCCACACCCAGCAGTGCTCCAGGATCACTATGTGTTTGGGAGCTCCGGGGACCATATATGGTGCTGGGGATCGAACCCCGGCTTGGTCACATGCAAGGCAAGCGCCTTACCCGCTGTATTACTGCTCCGGCCCCTCTGGTACTATCGTGCAGCTGCGAGACCCCGTGGTCCTGCCTTACATTTCCCAGGAGGGGGTCTAGGGACCGAGAGGCTGGGGGCATGGCTGGAGTGGGAGACAGCAAAGCCCTGAGTACCATCCCAGCGTGTCCCTCTGGCCCCTCGCATCACTGCACGTAGCCATCGTTAAAACAAAACAAAAACAAAATCCTTTCTAAAGGACCTACAATAAATGTTTTTGCTTTTGATTTTGGAGCCACATAGGTCGTGCTCAGGAATTACTCCTGGTGGTGCTCAGGGAACCATATGGGGTGCTGGGGATCAAACCTGGGTCAGCTGTGTGCAACGCAAACACTCTCCCTGCTATAATAAATCAGTGGCAGGTCTGGGGTTAGCACTCAGGACTCCTCAGAATTTCCTTCCACCCACTAAAACTTTTATTTCATGGGGCCTCGGTTCCCTGTATTCGGGAGCTGGGTCAGGCCTGATGGAGCCAGGGCCAGTATGGAGGTGTTAGGGACACTGGGATGGAGCACAGAACTCGGCAGTGTGGCCCTGAGTAACGCCTGGTCGACCTGGGCCTCGGGGTCCCCACCTGAAACACGGAGGGCTGTGGGCGGGTCGGGATTCCTTTATCTCTAAGGTACTTCGTGGTGCAAAGAAACCCAGGAGGAGCCGGCCATGGGGCAGGGCGGGCAGAGGGGCCCCTCAAAGCACAGCAAGGGCAAGGCTTGCCTCAATGTGGATCCACTTGAAGCGAGTCAGATCAACCTTTGCGAAGTCTGTGGCAGACACATCCGGCAGGTTCCTAAGTCCCCCGTAGATATGACAGAGGACACGGGGCATGGTGAGGTCAGGCAGGATGCAGCGGACCAGAGGAAGTTTGCTCAGGTGCTTCTTCCTATGTCTAGGGCTCTGCAGCTAGTGATGGGCGACTCAGCCACAGACTAAAGTCCAGCAGACCTGTAGAGTGTGCCTGGGGGACCTCATCTCCCAGGAGGCCCTAAGAGCTCTTCTAAGGACTACAATTTCCAGAATTCTCCCTACCTGCTGCGCATACAGCTTCCAGCAGCCAATGGCTGCCCATCCTAGAGCTGGGCTCTGGTCCCACTCACTCTAGTCGCAGCACCCCTGCCCAGAGTTTGAGTGTCTCATGTCAAACACTAAGGTTACACGCTGAGGATACATTTGTGAGGTGTAGACTTTGAAGGGTCAAGTATGACCCTCCCGATATCAGACTTACACCTGGGCCCTGCCCTCCCCTCCATCCGCTCAACTAACCCTGTGCCTTGGGCCTTTCTGAGGCTGCTCCGAGGGGTGCAAGGGGCCCAAACGCCCAGCTCACAGCGCTGGTGCCATTGGTAATGTGTACCAACAGTCACAGCTAAGGGAGTGGTGTCCTAAACACTTCTTCTGGATGTCCTTCTCTCTCTCGCACATGTGGGTGATCAGAGTTGCTAAGGATTGTTGGTGAACAGGCTAGGGACCCGGGCCACAGCGTGCAGCCACCACTAGCAGGTCTGCCTAGCACCACTCTGTCCGGCCCATGGCACAAACCCTGGCCAGAGAGCTTGTCCTGGTGAGATGCAACAGCAGCCTGCCACTCGGGCAGCTGGCCGTGGGCCGCCTCAGCATAGAGGAAGGCCCTGTCATGCAACTAGGTTCTACCGAGTCAGGGCCATGTGGGGTGACAGTGTTTTAAACACCCCATCCCCAGCTGCTTGGCGCCGGGTCGGCGTCCAGCCGGGAAATCTCGGTCGGGCACCTCTTCTGGGCTTAGGGATGCTTTTACATCACACCTCGCATTCCTCTGTCCTTGGAACAATTTCCCCCCACCCGGCCCCGCTGCTGATTGGCTCATTACAGAGGAATCACCTCATAAATTACACTGTCCATGCCTGCCCATGCCTGGCAGTGGCCGTGGCCAAGTCTCTGGACAGAGAGGCGCCCATCTCTTCCCCCCTCTCTTTTCCCCTAATCACAACCAATTCAGCGATCACTGCGGAGGGGACAATTTCAGGTGCAAGGTTGTGGCCACAGAGGGTGAGCTGTGCAGTGATTGGCGGGCTGTGTCAGGGCGTGGCGCAGTCGTGCAGTGATTGGTGGGCTGCATCAGGGCTGTGCAGTGATTGGCGGGCTGTGTCAGGGCGTGGTATGGCCGTGCAGTGATTGGTGAATTGTATCGGGGCGTGACGGGGTCGTGCAGTGATTGGTGGGCTGTGTCCGGGCGTGGCGAAGCCATGCAGTGTGATTGGCGGCCTGTGTCGGGGCGTGGCCAGGGCTTACGTGTCGTAGAGCACAATGGTGCGCGAGCCATTGGAGTTGTTGACGATGCAGCAAGAACACGGGGTCTCCCCCCGGCTCTGCCAGGCCACCTGAGACACGTCCACTCCCCGCCGCCTAAAATCAGCCACCAGGAAACTGGAGGCGGGGGGCAGCCCGAGCCGAGGGGACAGGGCGAGGAGACAGAGGTTAGAGCCTATGCGTGGCCGGGACCTCCCCCACGAGTAGGCCGTGGGGGGCCGGAGCACGTGAGCCAGTGAGAGGAGACGGTCCTGTCCTGGGGCTTGAGGGCCGGCGGCGGTGGTGGCTGGCGTGGTGCAGACGGGGACACAAACCTGTGAGCGTGCAGGATGGTGCGGCTGCCGCTGGCCTCATTGATGATGACGGTGGAGATGGGGACAGAGCCCGTGGTCTGATGGACCACGTATTGCAGGTCCACAGAATAGCGGCGCAGGTCTTCCAGGACAAAACTGCCGGGCGGAGTCACCCGGGGGTTGGGGGACACAGATCGGTGAGGGCTGGGGGACCGGAGGGAAGGGTCCCTAGAGGACCCTGAAAGGCAAGGGGGGCAAGCAGAGGGTATTTGCGGGAGGGGGGCTGGACAACTCGGAGCTGTCCCGGGCCAGGAAGGGGCACAGAGGCAGGAGGGCGCAGCTGGAACTCGGTGAGGAAACAGATCTGGGACAGGATTCAGAGACACGATTTAGTCCTGACTGGAGCAAACCCTGACTGGGACAGGACAAAATACGGACCCTGTTAGTAAGCCAGAGGTGGAGGCACTGCGGCCTGTTTCATGCAAGAAATTGCTCAAGTGCTAGTACTTTGGCCCCCAACTACTCCCCTGCTCGTCTTTGAAGCCCCTGCCCAGCCTCCTTGGAGCTGGTCTCAGCTTCACCTACCTCCAGGATGCCCATTGCCCTTTCCTCCCACAGTGCCGCCAACTCTCCTGGGTGATGAGGGGCTGCCGGTGCCCACTGCCCCTCCCCCTGGGCCTGCTCTATGGTCCAGAATCCTCTCCGTGGGAGTGAGCTGGTAGGCATTCACAGGTGCAGCAGGACAGGAAGGCCCGGCCACCAGCGTCCTGGGACCCACAGGGGAATCCTGTCCTCTCACTCTGGCCGGGCCCCACTTCCAGCAACACTGAAGCATTTGTGGAAAGATGCCCAGCTTTGCACAGCAGATTCTCACCAGCCACCTGCAGGCACTTTTCAATAGCTGCCCACCCACAGCCTAGAAAATGGGGTTTGTCTTGCCAAGGACCTTCTGCACCCAGTGTGCCTGGCAACCGGCCGGCGCTGACTCTGGGGAGCAGGATATGGGGAGTGTGGACTGAAATCCCCCATCAGCATGACTGATCAGAAAGGGCGTTACTGGGGCGCCAGAGCGATAGCACAGCAGGTAAGGTGTTTGCCTTGCACACGGCCAACCCGGGTTCGATTCCCAGCATCCCATATGGTCTCCTGAGCACCGCCAGGAGTAATTCCTGAGTGTATGAGCCAGGAGGAACCCCTGAGCATAGCCGGGTATGACCCAAAAAAGCAAAAAAAAAAAAAAAGGGGGGAGGGCGTTACTGAGCAGGACTGCACCTGAAGGCAACTGCAGACTGAACTGGACATCCACATGGGTGCTGGCCACTTGGCGTCTCACTGACCAGGCACTCACCTCCTGTGCCCTTATGTCGGCTACTCCAGAGAGCAACCTGGCAGTGTGTGTGTGGGGGGGGCAACAGCCCCCCTCAGAGTTCAAAGTGCTGAGTTTTCCAAACCAGCTGCCTGGCAGCCTGCCCAGTGTCCACAGCGGGCAAAGTGTAGGTCCCAGCCCCAGTAACTCCTGACTTGAGGACGTCAGAGGCCAAAGGGCTCTCGGACTTCCCCTGCTGCAGCCCACATGGGGACCACATGGTCCACTTGGGAGTTGGAGCTTCCACAGCCAATGGGCTGGAGTCCCACTTGGCTCTGGGTGCCCCGGGGCCAGTCACCTCTGCCACGGCCAGGAACAACAACAGGGTAGGGCGAACGCCTTGGCCCTGTCCCCTCAGTGGGTGCTGGGTGCTGGGGATCAGAAGGGCTGGGAACCACGTGTGGGGAGCAGCGTAGTAGGCCCTGAGCTTCCCCCCACGGCTGGGAGGAGGAGGGGTGCGCCTGCAGTGGCTCCCGGGCAGCATTCAGAGTGGGAAAGTGGAAAATCCCTCCAGGAAGGTCTGCGAGCAGGCTCCCCTGTGCCCCCACTCCTGGGCTTCCTCCTCCTGCCCCCCACCCGTTTCCCCCTGCACTCACTCAGCCACGTGGCCGGGGGCCAGCGAGCCCATGAAGGCGCAGGGTGCTCCGAGCAGGGAGAGGACAGTGCAGGAGTTGGAAGCGTTGCCGCCACGCTGCCATCGCTGGGACAAACATCTGCAAAACAACCCACCACAGCTCCCTGCAGCCGCTGCCCGCTGCGACCGCTGGGCACCAGCGCGGGGTCCCCCAGAGAGCACTCAGGCAGGAGCTCTCCTTTCACAGGGCGGGCAGTGTAGTGGGGTCCCTGGTCTGTCTCTTCAGCCCAGGCCAAATCCAAGTCCACAGCAATTCACGTGTCCACTTCCGCCGAGACAGAAAACCGGACACTCAGGCCTGGTACCGGGGAGGGTCCCGCTAACCCGGGGTCACCGTCTCCTCATGATGATCCCCCAAACCCACCCTGCAGAGTCGCCTTGGGAGCTGGATAAGGTCCAGCTGCCTCTGCCCGAGGGAGTCCAGTGTAAACCCAGCTCCTGTCTCAGCTTTGGCTAACACGAGGCAGTCGGAAGCCGACAGCCCTGGCCACTGTGGCCGGGGGCTGGGCAGCAGGGACAGCACTTGCCTTGCTGGTGTGTGGCCCTGGGTTCAATCCCTGGCAACACAAATAAACAGGTAGGTGGAGCTCACTCGTATCATGGCAACACTAGAGACTGTGGAGGAGATCAGCAGTCTCCCTCATCCTCCCTCTCTCTACCTGAGCTTTCTTGGGGTGCAACTGACATAAAACCGTGGTGTGAGTCACCGTTTTATGTAATTAAAATGCACCAGGAGGGCTGGAACGATAGTACAGCAGGTAGGGTGTTTGCCTTGCACACGGCTGATACAGGTTCAATCCCCGGCATCCCATAGGATCCCCCAACACCGCCTGGAGGGATCCCTAGTGAAGATAAGCCAGGAGCAAGCACTGAGCACTGTTGGTGTGGCCCAAAAATCAAGGTCAAAACATGTAACATGATGTGAGTGGAAGTGTCCACATAATTAAAATGGGCCACAGCAAGAGCGGAAATTTCTGGAAAAAAGTGGTATGCATGGTCCCCATGGAATTGACAGCCTGTGTAAGTTTCTATGTCGCTGTCGGGGACCCTGGGTGTGGAAGGTGGAGGTAAGTGACGGTGTGAGTGAAGATCCATGGCGGAATGGGCTGATGCTCTTACACACAGGGAGATGATAACCGCTCTCAGGGTCCCTAGCACATCCCTCCCCTCACAGGGCTACTTGTCCACGGTCCAGTCATCCCAGGAGGTCAACACAGGTGCTCCTCCCCCTTCCAAAACTAAACTAGCCTTGGCAGCTTACAACAGAACCGCTACTGCTGGAGGGATGGGTGTTTGATCATTGAGTGACTGTAACCCAAACATGGAAGCTTGTAACTATCTCACAGTAATTTAATAAAATTAATTTAAAAAAAGAAAAAAGAAAGAAAGAAATGCTACTGCTAGCTCTTCCCTGCCGGATGCTGGACGGTGGGCTCCTCTTCAGGCACCTGCTCTGTCCCTCTGTTCCTTGGCATCCCCAAATGTCCACAGAGCACAGTGATCCTGGGACAGGCAAGGCTGAGACTCCTGGGCAGGACTAGGGCCTCTATTTGCACCTCCACCTCGGGGTGAGCCCTGGCACACCTGTGTGCAAGTGCAGCAAGGAGAAAGGAGCCCTGAGGTTTGAGCATACTGGAGCCTGAGTCAGACCCAGCACTGCTGGGGTGCTTGGTGGTCCCCAGCACCGAGGCACCCTAGCAGAACCACCTCCTTAGGCCCGGTTGGCGAAGGATTGCCAGTAGTGACCTCTGGACCCCCTGACACTGTTCTGGAGGCCCCTAGTGGCTTACTCTTCAAGCTCAAGTTCTCCCGTGAAAGTGCATCTCACCTGTTCTCCATGTTTCTTTTCCTATTTCTACTCTAGAGAAGTCTGTACTCCCTCTCCTCCCTCTCACTTCTTTCTAAGTAACTTTCAATAAAAACTTTCTTGCTTCACCAAAAAAAAAAAAAAAAAGTGTGAGCAGTCTAGCCAGGCAGGTGCAGCCCAGCCCAGATCATTGTAATACGACAGGTGTGCAGGGGAAGACAGGAATCAGGCCCTCATGGCTGGGCCAGTGGGCTCAGACCTCCCCAGGCCCCGTGTCTGTCCCCAGAGCATCTTGGGTGGTTCCTCCCTGCACCCAGGGGCTGCCCACAGAGCAGGGCTGCCTCTCCAGCAGCATGCCTTAGGCCACTCACTGTTCCAGTACCCTGGCAAGGGGCTTTAACCTCCAGCAAACAAAGCAGCTGGGGCAAAGCGCCAGCGGGGATCAGCCAAGGGACACGGACCAGGGCAGAAGCAGGAGCTCCGACTTCTGAGCCACAGTGATGATCAGCGCCCCTTCAGTGGGGAAAACAGGCAGAAACCCCTTCCAGCCTCCCTCTCTAGCTCCCACCACTTCAAAGAGGGTCTGAGTCACCCTCACACACTGCCCTTGTGTAGCTGCTGGGAGAGAGCTCTGTGAGAATGCACGGGACTGTAGGGACCTCCAACACACACACACACATGCACACATGCTGGGCGCTCCAACACACACACACACACACACACGCATACATGCTGGGCGCTCCAACACACACAGGACACCCAACACACATCATGCACACATGCAAACAATGCATGCAGGATGCTCCAACACACATACACGCACACATATGCACACATGCAGGATGCATGCAGGACACCCCAACACGCTCATGCACACACACGCGCAGGATGCTCCAACACACACGTACACAAAACACGCCAACACACACATTCACACATGCAGGATACTCCAGCACATACACACAGGATACCCCAACAAGCACATATAAACACACGTGCAGGATACTCCAACACACATGCATGCATACATGCACACAGGACACCCCGATGCACACATGCACACATGCATACACACACGTGCATGCTCCAACACACACGTGCATGCACAGATGCAGGATTCTCTCTCTCTCTCTCTCTCTCTCACACACACACGCACACACACACACAGGATGCCCCAGCTCTCCCCTCAATTGGGTCCAGCTGCGGGGACAGTACCGGTGACCCCTAGAAAGCCCTGGATCCCTCCCGCAGAAATTCCTCCCTGGGACTAAATAGTCATACGTAAGTGCTTCTCAAGAGTAAGTCTACTAAGTAACAAGCAGAGTAAATCTAATAAGTAACAAGGACCGCTGCTACTTCTGAACCCACCGCCCTGTGTGTCTGTGGACTCTGGCCAGCTTCTTTGGGAATCTGGCACCAGGAGAAAGTGGTCAGAACCCAATGTGCCCGCCGCGTGCCTCACCCAGGGCTCCCCACGGTGCCTGCAGAGCCAGCGAGCCCGAGGCCACGAGGCCACGGCCCCGTTAGAACGTGGTTTCCTGCTCCACACGCTGCAGCGCGGCTGGGGAGCGCCCTCAGGGTCTCATAAAGACGCAGATGACCCCGCCAATTAGGAGGCAAAGCCCCAGAGGCACGTGCAGCCTGCCTGCCTGCCTGTCACCAAGCCGCCCGCCCCCGCACCACTCTCGCCTGGGAAATCACCTGCTCTCCCACGCTGGGCTGAGCCCGGGGTAAAACTGGCCGATGGTCCTGCCCTGGGCACTGGCTAACTGAGCGGCGAGAAAGCCCAGGCTTCGTTATTAAGAGCCTCAGTTCTCTCCCCAGCTGGGAGGGAAGGACACAGGGGTCCCGCCTCACTGCAGGGGGAGGGGGCCCTAGCTCCGCGACCCTGCAGCGATCCGAGGTCTCTACCTGCTGTCCTCGTCCTCCTCCGGGTACTTGTCCACCACGTTGATGATGTCCAGCACCACCAGTCCCACACACAGGATCTGTTTATTTTCCATGGGGTTGCTCCAGACCTTGCTGCCGCCCAGCTGAGTGTCCTCCGAGCTCCTGGCCTTTTGTCCCAGACCCTAGTGCCCGGGCTCCAGCGGGCTGCCCTGGCCCCTCCTCCACGACCCGTGGTGCTGCTGCTGCTGCTCCTCCTTCTCCTCCTCCTCCAGGCAGCCGCCAGGATAGAGCAGGGGCAGAAGGGCGAGGGAAACACGCCTAGGACGAGGCGGCGGCGCCACCCAGCACTTAATCACGCCTCCCACTCCCCGGCCTCAGTTTCCCCCTTTGTCAGACGGACTCGGGTCTAGCACTGTCAGCGACGCACGGAGGAAGGGCAGGAAGTACACGACCTCGGGCCGCCCTCGCCTACACCTGCGGCCGGGGCTCCCGGCGCGACGCCCGAGCTGAACAGCTGGTGGCGGCAGCAGCGCCCAGCGACCCCCGAGGGCCCGCCTCAGGCCCGCCCCAGGCCCGCCCCAGGCCCGCCCCAGGCGCCCAGGCCCCGCCTCCAACGCGGAGCCGCCGCCAGGTGGGCCGCCGGGGTCACGTGACGGGAGCCGCGGCCGGGCGGGGCGTCGGGCTCGCTCCCCAGCGCCCCCTGGCGGGCTCCGGCGGAAGGGGCGCGATCGAGGCGCGGGCTGCAACCCCGGTGCTCCAGCTCCCATGCACTCACGTCTACCACGTACACACGCAGCCGACGGCTGTTGATTTTTTTTTTTTGTAGAAAAAAACCCAAGTGTCTTTATTCCTGGAATAGTTTGGTACGGCGGAGGAGTTCTCGGCAGAGCCCGGGAGGCCTAGCATGAGCCCAGCGCGCCCGACCGGGAGGGAGCAAAGGCTGAGAAGATGCGCCCCTCGGCAGTGCAAGTCCGGCAGGGGCTGGCCATCGGGCCAACAGTCTGGACCGAGGGACCCGAGTGCGAAGCCCGCCGCGCTCCGCTCGCCTGCGGCGGGGGCCCGGCCCCGTCTACAACTGCTCCAGCTCCAGGTCCCCGTAGAGCAGGGCTCCGCTGAAGATGGTCAGCGGCTCCTCCGAGTGCGCCAGCTGCCCCGTGACCAGGTCGATGCACACTGTGTCCCCGGCCTGCAGCGGCAGGATGAGGCTGAAGACACCCAGAGCGCCGGGACTGGGCTGGCTCTCGGCCACCGGCTTGTTCTCCAGGCCCTCGGGCTCGTAGCCCCCTGAGTCTATGCGGGCCACGCCCAGGTTGGAGCGGGACAGCACGGCCTCCACTTTCTCGTGCCGATGCCCGGTCAGCACCGCGCTCAGCAAGTAGCGTCCGGCCACCGGCGCGGTGAACACACCTAGGAGCAAGGCAGTGGTCAGTGGCAGAGGCCAGGCAGGCTCTGCGGAGCCCATCCCAGAGATGTGGGGGGGGGGCACCCATTCCCAGGAGGTCAGGGAACTGGGGGTGGAGGGTATCCCCATGCTCAGGCTGTGCGGAGCAGTGGGTGATCATCCAGGGAAGGGAGAGAAACAGGAGCCAGGAAGGCAAGATGGGCCCTGGTGGCCCCCAGCCCAGGCGTACCAGTGGCGGGATCGTAGTAGCCTCCATCGTTGAGCAGGACTCTGTCGAAGGGCACAGTGCCCGGCTCAGACCGGGGCAGGCTGAGGGCAGCTGAAAAGGCCACCCGGGGCCCAGAGATGGCTGGTGCACCCTCCACTCCTGTGGGGTGCAGCAGGGTGAGTGTGGGGGGTCCCCAACAGGGGTGCCCAGCCCCCTTCCCGCCCATCTCCACCAGCTGCCAGCCCGCTCCCCTTCCTCAGCCTCCCATGAGAGGTACTTACCCTGCTCCCCTTGGGGCCCTGTGGGAGGAGGAAGGGGTCAGAGTCAGAGGCAGCTCCCTCTGCACTAGGCACTATGCAGACCGCAAAGGGCCCCCCCGGGGTTGGAGAAACTTGGGGGCCATCAGCCCCACTGCCACCTCTCACACCTTATACAACCCTGGTGGGCTCAGTCCGAGTATTGTTTTGATTTGGGGTCACACCGGGCGGTGCTCAGGGCTTTCTCCTGGCTCTGCTCAGGGATGACTCCTGGCAGGGCTCAGGGGACCTTATGGGTGCTCCAAATTGAACCTGGGTTGGAGCGTGCCAGGCAAACGCTGTCCCTCCGTGCTATCACTTCTGACCCTGAGCCTTCAACATCACCCAGCCCAGCCCCTAGGGGTGGGGCAATTCCCGCCCAGAAATCCATTCCTTTCCCCACTTCTCTGTGGAGACCAGAGCGATCCCACGAGCCTGGACTGCCCTGGGGGGTGGACAATAAACTAGGCAGTAGCCAGGATCTCAGCCCACGTACCCGGCAGCCCAACAGGGCCCTGCTGTCCATCCTTGCCGGGCGATCCTGGAGGTCCGGCAGGCCCTGGGGGTCCCTGAAGTCCCGGAGGCCCTGGGGGCCCAGCCACACCTGCAGGCCCTGCAGTGACAAAGCTAAGCTGATGGGGAGCCAGACAGAAGTTTCTAGAAGGGGACAGGGGTGAATGAGAGAGGCTGTTCCCCAGGCCTCCCGCCGCTCTGCTGGGCACCGGGCTGGCAGAGCAGTACCCCACCTCCACCCACAGGCTTCCTGGGGTGTCCAAAGCAAAGCCATTGGGTGTATATACAGCTCATGCCAGGCAGCGCAAGAGGGAGGCGGCAGAGGTGCTGGAGAGAGAAAGGGCCCGGTAGGGGAGCGGCCGCCCTCACCAGTGAGGTCCTGGAGGCTGAGCTGGTGCAGCCGGTCCTCCAGCAGCTGCACGGAGCTGTTGAGGGCGCCCAGCCGGCGGCCCAGGCCCGCCTGCCCCCCGAGCAGCTTCTCCAGCAGGGCCGCCTGCGTGTGGCTGCTGCTGTTGGCTTCGCGCAGCCCCGCCCAGAGCCCGGCCACGTGTCTGGAGAGGCCTTCGCGCAGGCCCTGCAGTCCCCCGGCCACCGTGTCCAGCCGCTCACAGACGCCCTCCAGCCGGCCCAGGCGGCCCTCCAGGCTGGGGCACTGGCTGCTGGACTGAGCCTGTCCCTCCTCCAGGCCCCGGAAGCGTTCCTCGCTCTCCGCCGCGTGCTCCGCGGCCTCCTGCTGCAGCCGGTTAATCTCGGAGATGATGCGGTCCTTGGTGGCCCCCAGGTCGGCCAGGTCGGCGCCCTGGCCCTCCACGGCCGTCTGGAGCTCGTGCAGGGAGTCGTTGAGGGAGCTGAAGGTCAGAATCACCTCCGAGAGCTCCCCCTGCAGGGCCTGCAGGGCGGTGCCCGAGCTGCCGCCGAACACGCTGAAGCCGTCCAGGGGCCCCCGGCTGGGTCCGCCCGGGCTGGTGCCGGCCCCAGGGCCCCGGGGAGGCAGGAGCGGGCAGGAGCAGCGCTCCACGCCGTCGCGCAGGCGGCCCAGCTCCTCCTGGACCCCGCCGCAGGCCCCACAGCCCTCCTCCCCGCGGGCCTGGAGCAGCGCCTCCAGGTGGCCCAGCCTCGTGGCCGTGACGTTCAGCCGCAGGGCCAGCTCGGCGGCCGCCTCCTCCTGGGCGTCCGCCCGGCCCTCAAGCTGCCCCACGGCCCTCTGCAGTCCCTCCAGCGCCTTCTGCCGGGCCTCGCCCGCCACCTCCACCTTGTGCAGGCCCGAGCCCAGCAGCCGCAGCTGCTCCTCGCTGTCCAGCACCCTGTGCTCCAGGGCCCGGAGGCCCTCACTGGCCTCGGAGTCCTCCCCCGGAGGCCCCGAGCAGAGCTGCCCACAGGCCTGCACAGCCCCGGCCACCTGCTCTTCCAACACATGCAGCCGCCGGCCCAGCTCCCCGCTCACGTTGGCCAGCCGCCCCTCCAGCTTCTCCAGCTGGCCCCGGGCTGCCGAGGGCAGCCAGCGGACCAGCCCCCCCGGACGCCCGGGCCCCCTCTCCTCCTGCTCGTCAGAAATGCCCAGGGTGGAGTTGAACCGGTCCTCCAGGTGGGAGAGGCGAGAGGCTAAACTGGTGTAGCCTGGGGGGTGACCCCCCTGGCCCGTGGCTCCTCCCAGCTCCGAGCCTCGCCAGCCCACCGTCACCGAGCCGGCCACCACATCCAGCCTGCGTTCCAGCTCGGCCAGTCGCCGGCCCAGCTCCGGAGGGCAGCATTCCTGCGGGACCCGGGGGCCCAGGGCCTGGCCGGCCAACTGCCGCTGCCGCTCCTCCACTGACGCCAGCAGCTTCTCCAGGGCCCGCAGCCGCTCCCGGTCTTCCTGCTGCTGCCGCCGGAAGCCGTCCAGCCCCGCCAGGCACACGGAGCAGGACTCCTGCAGCCGCCGCTCCAGCTCCCGCAGAAGCTCCTCCTGGGCACGGGGAGGCCCCGGGGCCCGCTGCTGGGCCCCGTCGGCGCCGCCCCCGTGGTGGTTGTTGAGATGGCCCAGCTCCTGGTCATGGCTGGAGACCCGGTTGTCCAGCAACTGCAGCTGCTGCTGGATCTCGTGGAGGGTCTCGTGCACGCCTGGGCGGGCAGCGGCGTCTGCGGGCTGCTGTCGTCCGTTAAATGCCGTCTCCACGGCTTTCTGGACATCTTCCGCCAGGCGCCCATTCAGGCCTTGCAGCACGCGCCGAAGGCCCTGCAGGTCCTTGGTCAGGCTCTGCACTTGCTCCTCCAGCTGCTGCACCTTCTCCGACTCCCCAGGACCTGGCAGAGAGGGGAAGGCTCAGAGCCGAGTGCTCACCTCGCCGGTCCTGCCCTTCCCAGAACCAGCGAGGGTGGAGGCTGAGGCTGCTCTGGCCACTCCTGGGCATGGGGGTGGGATGAATTAGGAGCTCTGGGCAAGCAGAGACGGGAGGAAACTGCATCCACTGAGCATCTACGCCCAGTGTGTACCCCGCTCCCCCACCGACAGCCATCAGGCAGATGCTGTGGGAGCTTCCCAGTTTTCAGACTGAGAGAACCAGAGAGGTTCTGCAACTGGGCCACGGAACACAAATAAGTGGCTGAGCCAACGTCAAAACCCTGCTCTGACCACGAGCCAAGCCCTTTCCATTGTCCCCGGTGCCACCTCACTTTCCGGAAATGACACCCTCATCAGTGGAATGGGAATGACCCTCTCTGACCTCCCTGGCCAGGCTGTCAGGGTGAGCAAGCAAAGTAGGAACAGGGGGGCCCCGTGAACCCCACCACAGTGGCTATTCCTGGGACAAACAAATGAGTCTCCAGGGCGAGACCGTGAGGGCTCTAGCTGGATGGCGGGTGAGTCCACCGGAAGTTCCTGTTTCCATAATTACTGCCTGGCCAGTCATCTCCCTGGCAGGCGAACACAGCACGTCTGCAGTGCCCAGCACACAGGAAGGCAGTGGGGACAGCGGCATTGTGGGACCTGCAGTCTCCGGGGCCCACCCAGGGACCTGGAACTGCAGTGGGCTGCAAGGCATGCTAGGACTCGTAGTTCCAGCAGGGGCCCTCAGGAGCAGGCAGCTGGAGCAACGCTGATGCAGCTGTTCCCAGCGAGGAAGTTTCCCCGACACATGTGGGCGTGTGTGAGCACACACTCTTGAGGTCTTTTTTTCCTCTGGGTCTCAGTTTCTGCTGCACACATGCACACAACACACACACACACACACACACACACGCGCATAGAGGCAGACCCACTCATATGCACGGAGACACATACACATGCAAGGAGACACACACACATGCACGCAGACACACATACACCTGCACACTTTTATGCACGCATGCACATTCATGCACTCAGGCACGGAGCCTCCGGGATCTCTCTGCCTCTGTCCTGGAGGTCGCCTTCTGCACAGCGTCCCCGTCTCTCTTCCCAGAGGCGCCCACACTCACCTTCCCCGCCAAGTCCGCTCAGGTGGTTGCCGGCACTGGAGCCGGAGAGATTGGGACGGGCTGATGGAGGGCGGGGGGTGGCCACTGAAGGGCTGAGCGCGGGGGCCGAGCCCTCGGCACAGTCGTCACCCCCGTAGCCCTGGCAGCACCTCCACTCCATGTCTGTCACCGTCTTGTACGCCACGCGGTATCGCGGCCGGAGGAAGCTGCGGTACCTGCAAGAGGCAGCAGAAGCTTTGGAGCCCCCCCCCCCCCCGGTCCCTGTCCTCAGCTGCAGGGGGACGAGGAGGGGTGCCTATGCTTCAGCTTGGAGACCCCCCCAACTGTCCAGCATGTGGCCTTACTCAGTTGACAGCTGTCAGCTTACTGGCCCAGAGCCACGAGCACCACCTCCCCCCTCCACCGCCCCCCCCGCCCCAAGTTCTTCCTCTCTTTGTCCTGTGCTGAGATCTTGGCCTCTTGTGTGTGGCGGGGTCAGAGGAGTATCTGGGCACTGGGGGTGTGGCCCAGGTGACTGTCCCTCAGCTGCTGCCCGGGTCAAACATCTTGGAGTGAGGGCCTGCCCTTGGTGGCCATCTCTGTGCAGGTGCCCCCTTGCCACCCGCCTCTGGCCTGACCCAGAACCCCAGAACTCCCCCTCGCCCCCCGTGCTGGGGCTCACGTGATGCTTCGGGAACACTGGGGCTGGCCCCAGCCACAGGGCTGGTAGTCGGGCTTCACGATGGTCTCCACGCCATCCTCCAGGACACAGCTCACCGTGCGGCTCACCACGTAGGCGCACCAGTTTCTGCGGGAACCAGCACCTCTGGGCCCAGAGCCAGAGACGTGCACACCCCCTTCCCAGAGCGGGGCTTGGGGCACGGGGTGGAGGGGTACGACCCAGGGGGGCTGAGGGAAGGTGGAAGGATGAGGAGGGGATTTCCATCGGGAGCGGAGGCTTTGCAGGGACAGTCCCGCCCCCACCTTCCTCTGCGGCAGGGCTGATAAAGCCGGTTTGGGACTGGAAAGGGGCGAGGAGGGGGCTCCACCACCAGCTGCTCTCAGCGTAAGCTGAGGGGTGGCCTGCCTCTGAACCCCCACATTGACTCCAGTGGGCCCTGCCACTTCCCATCCCCAGCTCCGGAGAGTCCACAGGACCCTGGCTTCCACCCACCCTCCGGGGCCATGGCTGGACGTGAGCGGAGAAAGGGCCATTGATGAGGGCCTCCCCGCCCCCTGGGCTCCGAGGCCTCATTCATGCTGGCTCCACGCAGGAGCTGAACCGGGCGGGCGACGAGGTGGGTGGAGAGCGGATCCCTGCCCGAGGAGAGGAGGGCTGGCAGGAAGGCCTGGTCCCTGCCCCGGGAGCGGGCAGCCTGGGGCACCCACTGGCAGGTCCCCTCTGCTGGTCCCCGGGGGTGCGACGGGGGACCCTCGCTATTCCCAGGGCCCCAGAAAACGCCCTGCAGGAGGGATGGGTGTGTGAGGAGCGGCTGATGGACGGCTTCCTCTGCCCTTCCCGACAGGGGAGACCGGCAGAAGATGGGGTGAGGACACCCACCCGCTCCCCTGCCTCCCCACCTCCAGCATCAGGGAAGTCCCCGACTCTTACCTGTGGCGGCTGGCAGGCCGGGGGGCGCTCTGGGCCTGGGGTCCTCCGGGGCTGAGGGTCCTGCCACCCCCCGTGTAGAGACTGTAGCCACGAGGTGAGTAGCTGGCTGCCCCCACGGCCGTGGTCAGCAGGCAGCAGAGGTAGCAGCTCCAGAGGGCGCGGGGGGCCATGGTGTGGGGTCCGCAGTGACCCTCAGAGGCACATCTCGGCTGGGCCCCAGCTTCCTGCCTGCAGCCCCCGGCCACACGCTCCCAGGCCGCCCGGCCTGACCCTCTCCCCCTCCTCTTCCCTCCTCAGGCTCCGCTGCCCGTCCCTCCCTCGGTTCCTTCCGCCCTCCTCTTCGCCTCTGCGGAGGGGCGTCTGTTCTCCAGGGCACTCAGACGCCGTCCTGGGGCCTGCGCTCTCGGGGCCTCCTCCCCAGTGACCGTTCCCGGGGTGACAGGGCTTTGGCCCCGCGGCTGTCCGGAGTGGCTGTGGGGCGGGCCGGCCTCCCGCCTCCCTCCCCGCCTCGCTCCCCTCCCTTCCCCCCTGTCTGGCTGGCGGTCGGGCCTCCCCTTCCTCCCCCACCTCTCCAACCATCGCCACATCTGCTTCTTGTTAACTCCGGGAAGGGGGGTGGGGGGGGAATTCGGAGCTGCCGCGGCCTGAGGCCAGTCTCAGATGGGCCACAGAGAGTGGGGCCTGGGCCAGCACCCAGGAGGCCCCCCGCTGGCCGCGTAGCCAGGGAGCACGAGCTCTTCTCTTGGGAGACTGGGCCGGCTCCCCCTGGGGAACAGCCTAGAGCAGGAGGGGACAGCCTGCCAAAGCAGGGGACATCCTTCCGGTGGTTAGAGATGGGAGATTCCAGCCCAGGGAAGAGACTGGTCCAAGGTAGCACAAGTCTAGGGCAGGGCTGAGAGAAGAATCTAAGTGCCAGGGATAAGGATGAGGGCCCGAGCCCTAGGACAGCCGGGAGGGCGCTTGCCCCACATGCAGCTGACTGTGAGGGGTTCAATCCCTGGCACCCCGTAGGGTCCCCTGAGCACTGCCAGGAGTGACTCCTGAGTCCTCATCCTCATCCCTGGCACTTAGATTCTGAGTGCTGAGCCAAGAGGAATCCCTGAGCACTGCCAGGTATTGCCCAAAAAGAAAAAAAAAAACCAACAAAACAAAAAATCTAAGTGCCAGGAATGAGGGAGAAAAGAGGGAGGGCTCTCGGGCCCAGGAGGAAAATCAAAGCACTCCGTGGATGGAGGCAGAAGGGAAGGAAGGAATTGGGAGATGGAGAATTGCCTCTCTGGGGGAGAGGGGGCATCCCAGTGACGCTTGGGGACCAAGGCTCAGACCTGGGACTCCCACACGCAAACTGTCCACTCCAGCCCTTCGCACTCCCTGACCCCCGGACACCCATTCACTTTTGAAGGGTGATGGTAGTGACGTTTGGGTCACCCCCAGTGGTGCTCAGGGCTTCCTTCCTCCTGGCTCCGGGCTCAGGACTCACTCCTGGCAGTGCTCAGGGAACCATGTGCAGTGCCGGGGATGGAGCCGCCTTATTGGCTGTGTATAAGGCCAGCACCTGAACCCCTCTGCTTTCTCTCTGGCCCCAAAACTCATGTTTTTAAAAAAGGACAAAGAGGGTCTGGAGCAACAGCACAACGGGTAGGGCGTTTGCCTTGTACACGGCCGACCCGGGTTCGATTCCTAGTATCGGTCCCCTGAACACCACCAGGAGTAATTCCTGAGTGCAGACCAGGAGTAACCCCTGTGCATCGCCGAGTGTGACCCAAAAAGAAAAAAAAAAATGACAAAGAACCGCGGGATTCAGGCTTGTCCTGGCCAAGAAGGGTCATGGGGGGCGGGGAGCAACAGATGGGGGACCGGTCCGGGTGGTGCTGCAGGAAGTGTCGGGCTCCTGTCTCGGGTAAGGAACGCAACCACATCCCCCCATCGGCCTGACCGGAAAATGCCTCTTGAGCTGACAGCATCTGCCTGCTGGCTGCCGCCATCTGGCCGCAGCACGGGGCTCTGGAGACAGTGGTCCTTGTGTGGACGTCCTCACACCGAGGCTGAGGACCGAGACAGAAAGGAGCGAGAGCATGAGGGGCAGGCTCGGGGGAGGCGAGCGCAGAGAGAGGAGAGGTTGGGGGCCACAGGCACTGCTGGAAGGGGACAGAAAACTCCCACGAGGCAGCAAGGACAGTGGCAAGGGTGGGGGCAGAGGGAGGACGAGCTCGGGGAGAAGCAGGCCCACACGGTTGAAGGGGACAAGGGACAAGGGGAGGCTTCAAGCTGGGAGAAGCGTCTGCCTCAGTCTCTTCGTCTCTAACGTGGGGCAACAAATTCCCTTCTGCTGCTGCCCTGAGAGGCTTGAGGTACACGTCATGCATTTGCTCTCAATGATCAGAAATGCTGGCTCTGACTGGTGTCCCCCTCAGGAAAAAGGGGGACAAAACGTCAGGGAGGACAATGTGGACACAGTATGGAGAGGCTCAGATGACCTGCTTGGAGCTTGAGTTCAAGGTTTGGCTTGGTTTTTTTCTTGGTGGCGGGCACACCCAGTGGTGCTCAGGGGTTCCTCCTGGCTCTGCATTCAGGAATCACTCCCAGCGGTGCTCAGGGGTGCCAAGGATCGAACCCGGGTCGGCCACATGCAAGGCAAATGCCCTTCCCTCTGGGCTATCGTACCTGCCCCTGATTCCTAGTTTCTGAGTAGGGGCCCGCATATGCGAAAAGCAAGCAAACTGCCCGCAAGGGCCAGGAGCCAAGAGCTAGGGTACGTGGGGGCGGCCTCCAGTGGCCCCTCAGAAGAGCCTTTTGGCTTGGAGAAAATTCCATGACTCCTGGCGGGGGCGGATCTGTTGTCTGTGTGTCCCCAATTCTTTCCACATCCGGCCCTGCAGCATTGGTGTGGCGGGAGCAGTGACTGTGGAGAAAGAGAGACCTGAGGAGCACACAGACCGTCTGGGCAATGAGCTGGATTCAGGGAGACACCAGAGAAGGTCCAGAATTTGCACAGGTCGGGGGAGGTGCAGAAGAGGAGGTGTGGCGGAACCAAGAGCCCAGTTCGGACACAAGGAGGTTAAGATAAGAGCACTAGCACGCAACAGACCTGGGTTTGATCCCTGGCATCCCATATGGTTCCCCCGAGCATCACCAGGAATAATTCCTCAGTGTGGTGCCAGAAGTAGCCCCTGAGCATCACAGGACATGGCCCCCAAACAAATCAAACAATAACAAAGACGAGAGCACTGCAGGGCCGTGGAAAGGCTCGCTCAAGAGTGGTTGGCAGTGGGTGAGAGGGAGCCTGGTTCTGGGTATCTTCCCGGGCGATAACTGGCAGCCCTGAGAATGGAGCCCGCCAACTCTGTGGTCTCTCTCGGGTCTGCTCGAGGGCCCAGGCCTGCGAGGAAACTTGGCAAAAAGGCTGCAAAGAACATGCTAGAAGAAACAGCAAGGAACGTTGTGGCTGCCCCATGCCCCCACGAGCTTGGGGGTTGGTTGGCACAGACCAGGGCCCTAATGTTGCCACCAGGGAAGGGTTCTGGGTTCAGAGTCGGTTCTTGGCCCTGACCCCGGGCAGGGAGCAAGGAGCACCCCCTATCCTTCCCACTGGTGCCCCGCTCCCCGTCCTGGCCTCTGTCCTGAGTTTTCTTTCTCTCCTCGTCCCCCCCTCCACTCCCTTTAGGGGCCTCTAGAGACCTGAAAAGTCATCCCGACCAGACTGTCACTGCTCTGTCGTCACCCGGGCCCATGCCCACCCCCTCAAGTTTCTAAATCTGTTGTCTATTTTAAGTGTGTCAAGTCAAAAATGTTGGCTTTGAAATCTAATTGCAGTAGGTTGCATTTCATTTAGTCCTGGAGCTGGGAGCCAAGACAGCGAATGTGTGAGAGACCGCCTGCAGGCCGCTGCTCTGAGCTCACTGGGAGGCCTGCGCAGCCGGGCGAGTGGCCGGCAGTGGACACAGGTGAAAGGAGAAGGTGGTGGTGCCCCTGGGGTGGCTATGGTCGACACCCACTTATTCCCAGGGCATGGAAGAGTCTTCCTGTAACCGGAAAGGGTTAGTCTCTGGGGCATAAAGACAAGCTAATATTTTATTTGTTTGGTTTTTATTTGGGGACCACACCCAGAGATGCTCAGGGCTTATTCCTTGCTCTAGGTTCACAAATCGCTCCTGGTGGTGCTTGGAGGACCCTATGGGATGCCAGGGATTGAACCCGGTGAGTCATGTGCAAGGCAAAGGCCTACCTGCTGTACTACTGTTCCCGCCTCAGGACAAGCTCTATTTTGTATGTGCTCCAAGCAGGGTCGGCCATGTTGGCTGCGTGCAAGGCAGACGCCCTACCGAGCGATAGCACAGCAGTAGGGCGTCTGCCTTGCACGCAGCCAACATGGCCGACCCGAGTTCGATTCCTCCGCCCCTCTCGGAGAGCCCGGCAAGCTACTGAGAGTATTCGATATGCCAGACACAGTAACAACAAAGTCTCCAATGGAGACGTTACTGGGCCCGCTCGAGCAAATCGACGATCAACGGGAGGGCCTTTACTTTACTTTACTTCAAGCGGGGGGCTTTCCTCTTGCCAATGGACACCCTCTGCTACCCTAGGTGACCCTTCCTTCATTCCCTTGTTGCTGACAGATCCCTAAACTCTTGGTTGTGGAGCCAGCTTAGTCAGGGATTACCTGCAAATCAGGAACATTTTCTGTCTTTGCTAGAGGACTAAAAGAGTAGTAGGCAGGGGCTGAGGGGGAATAATGTGAACTGGGCTTTGGGTAGGGCTGCGGCTGGAGCAATAGCACAGCAGGGAGGGCGTTTGCCTTGCATGCGGCTGACCTGGGTTCGATTCCCAGCATTCCGTATGGTCCTCTGAGCATTGCCAGGAGTGATTCCTGAGTGCAGAGCCAGGTGTAAACCCCTGAGCATCGCTGGGTGTGACCCAAAAAGAAAAAACAAATCTGTGTCTTTGGGCTGGAGCGATAGCACAGCGGTAGGGCGTTTGCCTTGCACGCAGCCAACATGGCCGACCCGAGTTCTATTCCTCCACCCCTCTCGGAGAGCCCAGCAAGCTACCGAGAGTATCTCGCCCGCACGGCAAAGCCTGGTAAGGGACCTGTGACATATTCGATATGCCAAACACAGTAACAACAAGTCTCACGATGGAGACGTTACTGGGCCCGCTCGAGCAAATCGATGAACAATAGGAGGACCGTGACCATGACCGTGGGCTTTGGGTCATGCAAACCTTCCTGAGCAAAAGTCCAATCCTGGGTTGGAGAGATAACGTAGTGGGCTAAGTGCCTGCCTTGCATGTGTCCGACCCGGGTCGATCCCTAACACCACAAAGGGTCCCCCAAGCACTGCCAAGGCGTGATCCCTGGGCACAGCCCCAGGAGTAAGCCCTAAGCACTGCTGGGTGTGCCCCTTTTTCCGCCCCCTAACCCCTCCCCCCATGAAAAAAATGTCCAATTTTTTTCAAATGTGGATGATTTCTTTCCCTCTGTTAAGAACAGTTCGGGGGAGCCTGGAAGGGTGCTGAAAGGTGGAAGTGTATGCCTGTATGCAGAAGGCCTCACGCCCGATCCCGGTGCCACATGTGCCCCCAAGCACTGCTGGGTGTAACCCTGATGGGCCCCAGCACCAAGCATTGCCATTCACTATCAAACTGGGCAGCACACACAGCCAGGCGACAAGATTGCCAGGAGTAGCCACCAGTCCCTGCTTGGGAGACTCCAAACGACAACCAAAAATAGGTCCAAAATGGAGTCATTTATGATGTTTGCTTTTGATTTTTGGGTCACACCTGGTGAAGCACAGCGGTTACTCCTGACTTTGTACTCAGGAATTACTCCTGGCGGTGCTCAGGACTATATGGGATGCTGGGAATCGAACCCGGGTCAGCTGCATGCAAGGCAAACACCCTACCTGGTGTGCTCCAGCCTCCCTGGAGTCATTTATGCTTACCCCGGTCACCAAACTGAACAATGACTTTCAACCTGACCCAGGAATGGCAATTTTTGCTTATCTGTTTTGAGCTCAGGGCTCACTCCTGGCTTTGTGCTCAGGGCTCACTCGTCAGGCTGGAGGCCCCGATGCATGGGGTGTACTTGGTCGGGCCACAGGAAAGGAGTCTTATTTTTTTGGGGGGTTCACACCTGGCGATGCACAAGGGTTACTCCTGGCTCTGCACTCAGGAATTACCCTGGCAGTGCTCAGGGGACCATATGGGATACTGGAAATTGAACCCGGGTTGGCTGTGTGCAAGGCAAACACCCTACCTGCTGATTGCTCCAGTCCCCAAGAATGGAATCTTAGATCTGTGAAGACCACCTAGTCCTACTAGGAGGTCATCCAGACCCCAAATGGCTGCCCACTGCCACTCCACATTCTGCTGAGCGTGGAACTTGCCCCCCTCCTTCCTGCCTAGGTCTGCCATTGTCGCTCCTTCAAGCTCCTGTCTGCTGGACACGATGCAGCCCTCATCACGGGCAGCTGGAGAGAGCCAGTGAGATCTTGAGAATGTGCTCAGTTCAATTTTATTTCTGACCCCTTCAAAACCTTCCCCAGAACTTCAGGCAATGATTTCTCTGGACTCATGGTCCCTTTTCCCCATGTCTTGTAGCTTTTTTTAACTCCTGAGTCTAATTTTTGCTTCATGTCTTCTTGAAGACATGGTTGTAAACCACACTAGTCAGTATCAGAGATTGAACTTCATACCTGCCCCCCCCCCATATCCTCCCACCTCAGTTTCTCAGGTAAAGGCTCTGCCTGTTTGATTTCCCACACACTTCTCGCCCAAGCACTCCCTAAGTTTTATTTGCTTTCGGCTAAGCCTCATTTAGTGCTGGAGCTATTTTTTATTTCAGTTCTCTTCAGGCACAAGGCCAAACACCCATTTGAGGCTGATAGAAAGCTTTGCTGTCGTAGGCACAGGAAGCTCTGTGAGGTGAAGGACCCTTCTGGATAGTTCTAAAACAAATCCCTTCCCTCTTGGCCCTGACCCTAGGACCACGCACTGAGCCTGCAGTGTGAGAGACGCCAGTCCTCCAGAGCTTTGGTCAACCTGATTGCCTTCTAGGTCGCTTTGCTCCTCTATGACCTGCCGGGAAGGTTCTCCTGGGCTCCTGCGGTCAGGACACTTTGCCTCCGGGTCAGCTGGTTTGGGGAGCACAGGAATCCCAAGCATGTCCCAGGCTCCCCGCCCCCCACCCACCTGTGGCATGTGGAGTCTGAGATTCTTCTTTCCAGGGGTCTGCTCTAGAGGTCTGGTGCTTCTGGTACTTTCAACAATCGACCCAAGTGTCTGGTGGACTTGGATGCGCTTCAAATTTCCAGGAGACACGAAGCTGAGTGTGTGTGTAATCCTTTAAGACCCGGACCTGGGGAGCCCGGGAGGCGCCGTCTGGGTTTCACAATTGAACAGAGGGGGCACCGCGAGGGACTCCAAAGAGGGAACTTTGGGGGGAATCCTGAGGGTGGGGTGGGGGCGCCCAGAGGAATTGCAGGGGGGGGGTCCCAGGCAGAACGCTGGAGGTCCCAGACCAGACCCCTCGGGGCCCCGCCCCCGGCGCCGCCTGTCCAGCCCGCAAGCTGGTGCCTGGCCGGGCAGCTCCAGTCCCAGAACAGCTCCTGGAGTTTTCTTTGGCTGCCAGCGGCAGCGTCCCCTGGGCCCTGGCCCCCCCTATCGCGGAGCAACTGGCTTCCATTACCCCTGACAGTTCCAGAGCCACAGCCCCGCCCCCCGCAGCCCCCGGCCTGGCACCGTGCCACTCCCTTTTATGGCGAGGCCCAGGGCAGGCGGGAGCGGCGGGGGCAGGCGCGCTCGGGCCTGGACACGGGGTGCAGGGGGCCCCACCTGGGCCCCTCTCCCACAGACGCCCCCCATCCCACCCCTCTCTTCGCGTCTCCCCCCCCCCCGTGACCCGCCCTGCCGCGACCCCCTCGCGGGTCCCAGCCCTTCCTCCTCTTTCCTCCCTCACATCCGGGGGGTGATTTCCCACTTGGCCCAAGTCCCACGGTTGGGGTTTGGATTCCGGGAGGGGCCGCCCTACTTCCGACGCCCACCCCCGGGGACGGGGTGGAGCCCGGGGACGGGGGGGAGGCACGGGTCAGCGCCCAGGTCGGACGGTTCCCGCGGCACCCGGGCGCCCCGGCCCGGCGCTGTCCTGCACCGACCCCGCGTCCCACCCGGTCCCGGCAGCCCGAGTCGGGGAGGTCGGGGCCGCGAGGGCGGGGCTCGAAGGAAGCACCTGGCGGGGTGGGGCCGGGAAGAGAGGGTGGGCAGCAGCGCGGGGGGCAAGGCAGGAAGGAGGGGTGAGGTCGAGCCTCCCGCCCGGCCCCTCCGCCGCACCCATGCCCTGGCTTCTCTCCTCGGCTCCGGGGAGGCGGACGCGGCTCGGCTTGACCGCGTCCCGGGCCGCGCCAGCTGCAGCCAGCTGCGGAGAGCCGGGCCCGCCGCACGCTCCGGCGAGACCCCGCCCCCCGCGGCCTCAGGCCCCGCCCACACCCAGTGCCCCGCCCCCGCAGGCCTCGGCGGGGAGCAGGCGAGACGGCAGGGCTAGAGGGGCCGCTCCGGACCCGTCGCGCGGCCGGAAGTGACTCGCCGGAGCCGAGCTGGCGCTCCGCACTTCCGGCCCCGGCTTCCTCCCTCGAGCGGCTCGGCGAACGGCGTGGGAGCCCGGCCCGCTGACCAGGTGAGGGGCACGCCGGCGTCGCCCAGCGGCCAGCGCCGGGGTCCGGCCCGGCCCCGGGGCGCGGGCGAGGAGCGCGCCGCCGTCAGCCCGTCCTCTTCTCGCAGGATGATCACCGACGTGCAGCTCGCCATCTTCGCCAACATGCTGGGCGTGTCGCTCTTCCTGCTCGTCGTCCTCTACCACTACGTGGCCGTCAACAACCCCAAGAAGCAGGAGTGAAAGTGGCGCCGCCCCAGGTAACGGTCGGCCCCCGCGAGGGGTGTCCGGGCCGCGCCCGGGGCTGCCGGGCTCGGGACCGCACGGCGGAAGGGGGCGGGCCGGCGAGGACCGAGCCCGGCACCGGACCCCTCCTCGGTGCGGAGCGGGGTGGGGGGTGGGGGCGCGCCCCGCGGTGTCCCGGCCCGCCCCGGAAGCTGCGGCCGTTCTGGCCGGGTCGGGGCTGCCCGGGAGGGCAGTGACCGGGCCGGGAAAGGTTCGGGGGCGCCTTCCTGGAATGGGGCCCCCCTCTTGGCCCGTGGGGTGCTGCGGCTTCCGTCGAGGCGGGGTTTGGGCCGAGGCGGCGCACACTTCGGGGACTGCCGTGCTGGGAGGCCCGGGGCGCCGTGGACCGCAGACCCGTCTCGGAGGGAGCAACGGGCGGGGGGCGGGTTGGAGCGAGCCCTCCGCGGTGCAGGTCAGGTGGGAGTCGGCGCCTCGAGGGTTTTCCTCACCTCGGGTCTTTCCCCCTCTCTTCTAGGGCTCCAGGACATAGTCTGAGGCAAGATGGAGGGCGTGAGGGTCCCTCACACTTCACTTCCTCCCTCCTACCCATCACCACATACAAAAGCAGCTACACCTGGATTTTTCCAAACAACTTTTATTTCCTCAAAGTCTTCCTTAACCCTATGGAATGAGAAGCTGCCACGTAGTAGGGCCCAGTGTGGGGGCTGCTATCTTTTGTACTCCCCCCCAATATAAAAATATAGCTCTATTTTTTTCTGTGGTCCCAAAATCTTGTGCTGTGGGGGGTGGGGAGGTGTGACAGGCCCCTGCCTCGTCCTGTCTCAAGGTGATGGTCCCTGTGCCTCGGAGTCCCGGCCGGCAGAGGCAGCGGAGGGAGGAGACGAGCACTGGGCTCACCGAGGCCCCATCCTGGGGCCAGGCGTCACACCCGGGGGGAGAGAGTAAGCGGGGGAGACTTGGGGACAAAAGAAACCTCAGGCTGGCTCAAGGGCCCCCCACTGTAACAAGTCCGGGCAGGGTAGTCGGAGAGACTACTGGAAAGAGGAGAAAGGGCAGGGGCAGAATGGGGCCGCGAGGGCCTGGCCCGAGGCAGCCTGCAACAGAGAAGAGAGGGGGGTCAGGGCTCCTGCTCTGAGTGAGGCCGACCAGCACCCCAGGCCTCAAACCCCTATTGCAAGTCGTTCTGTTGTCCCTCGAGGTTGAGGCTGAGACCCTGATGGGGAAGACATCAGGGCTAAATTCTGGGTGAAAGTACACTTAGCCCTGGAGGTCAGAGGAGGAAGGAAACGACCCTGAGTGGCAGGAATGGGCAGAGTGGACAGAAGGAAGAGGTGGGGCAAGGGACTGAGTCCCGGGCTCACCCTGGCGCACAGAGGGGTCCCGGCTCCGGCTCACTGCACTCCTTGGTCTGGGAGATGGGGGATGTGGGGCCGGAAGAGCCTCTCATCCCTCCGCAAGTCGGCGGTGAGCCCCGGCCCAGCCTGGGCCTAGCCTGTGTGGACAGGAGTCAGCTAAGAGGCTGGATTCTTCCGCGAGCTTGTGGCTTCAGGTGTATTTCTGGTTGGTGCACATGCGTGCGGTAAAGGGATCGACACGGGTGCCGAGACCCTGCCTCTGAGTGCTGACCTAGCTGGGGGGAAGCAGGAACACAGGGAGCTCGGGGGTGCAGGCCGACAGCCTAGGGAGGCAAGAGAACCCAGCAGTCACTGTGCGGGAGGGATCTGGGCACGGCCTCTGCCTCCGCTCCTGCCTCTGCCGTGTGCCTCGCCCGGCCACCAGGGAGGCAGAACTAGTTCTAGGAGCAGCAACCAGACGTGTTACCTGGGGAATCCGGGACCCCTCCTGGCGGGAACTCTCCTCGGGCAGTTCTGGGCAGAAAAAGAGGAGACGCTAAGGGCAGGGCAGGCAAAGCCGCAGCTGGCAGGCTGAGGTAGGGGCGGTCTGGCCAGGGTGCGGGGGGTGGAAGCAAGCAAGAGCCCTGGCTGCAGGGACGGGCACTGGGCGCGAGCAGCTCTCTGGTTGGCGGGGCGCTCTGAAGCAGTGCTGGCCACCCCCCCCCCCCCCCCCCCCCCCCCCGCTGCCCAGCCAGCAGTGCCACGGTGCTTATGCTGCGGTGGACAAGCCCTCGCGGGTTACCTGCAGTCGGGTCCTGATGCAGGGGATCCGAGGCCCCGCCCCTAGAAGGCCTTTCCCGATCACCATCACAGCTTCTGGCTTGTCCCCTGAAGACAGGAACGAGCAGCCAGCCCCTAGAGAGCAAAGGAAGCTGCTGACAGGGTGGGCCCCTGCAGTAGAGAGGAGGCCGGAAGTTCCTTGGGGCCGGGGCCTGGGCACTGCTGCTCTCCGGGCTGGCTGGGTCGCTGCTGGGGTGGGGCAGAGCATGTATGTAGTAGATGTCCAGCTGCATCCCCGGCCTCTCCCTGCTACCTGCTGTTTCTCCCCCAGGTGCTCCCAAGGGCCCCCGGTGAGCACCCCAGCCCTGCTCTCCGGTGGCCAAGGGCTCCGAGCCAGCTCTGCTCTGACAGGGGCAGGCCTCAGAGCTGTCCAGATAATAAGCTGCCAGGGCTCCAGTCAGCACTACCCAACTCACAGGCTGAGAGGGGCTGTGTGGAGGAAGCCACTCCCTCCAGACCTGAGACTAGGTGGGCCAGCAGCCTCAGCTGGAGTGGACGGGAGTGATCCGTGGCCCACGGCAATGGCCACTGGAAGCCCGGCCAGCTCCTGGAGGCAGGTGGGCAGTGGCTGCAGGCTTGTAAAAGAGTGAGGCGAGGAGAGCGGGCTTAGAGCAGCCGCACTCAGCTAGAGCCCAGCTTCCTGGCCAGAGCAGGGGCTGGGCATCAGGAGCGTCCAAGAAGACAGAATGTCCCTGGCCTGCGGTGGCCTGTGTACGTCAGGCTGGCAGTGCCAGTGAGGGCATTTCTTTGAGCTTAGTCGGAGCCTGCTCTGCTGGCCTGAGTGGAAGGGGAGGGAGGGCGCGGTGGGCACAGACCTGAGGTGCTGAGCGAGCCGGGCAGCAGGCAGGAGCCCATGCTGCGCGAAGAGGCCGCGCTAGAGTTAGTTTGGGATGCAGCCAGGCTGCTCGAGGTGGGGCGCTGAGTCAGTGGCTGCTGTCGCCGTCTCCTGTCCTGGCTGCGGGGGTCTGGGTGGATGGGACAGAAGCAGACGAGAGAGGAGGTAAGTGGGGGACAGTCACAACATCACCACCCCGCTGGCTTCCCAGGGTCAGAGCGCGCCCCTTTTCTTGCTCACACCAGCATCCTGAAGAAACGCTGGAATGGTTAGCAGGATCTGGAATGTTCTCCGCCGGCCCACATCCTGTTTTCCCTCTAGCCAGCTCAGCACCGGCTCGTCCTGCAGAGGAGCCGCCAAATGAGGCCACTGTCGCCCTCATTCCTTTCTTCCCCCAGTGATCCCCAGTCAGAAATCCTCCCTCTGGGAGCTCCCCAATTCTGAAAACCTCTGCCTCCACCTGAATGGCTTCCCTCTCCCGTGCATGGCCAGGACCCTGTATCATTCTTCTTTTTTCTGTTTTTTGGGTCACACCCGGCAATGCACAGGGGTTACTCCTGGCTCTGCACTCAGAAATTACTCCTGGCGGTGCTCAGGGGACCATATGGGACGCTGGGAATTGAACCCAGGTTGGTCGTGTGCAAGGCAAACGCCCTACCCGCTCTGCTATTGCTCCAGTCCCCAGACCCTGTATCATTCTAGGGTCTAGAACGTCCCACTGGGCTCTAGAAGGTAGCCTGATTAAGAGCCCTGTGGGGTTGGAGTCAAGAGGTTGAGTGTATACTTGGCAGGCAAGAGGCCCGGTTTGATCCCCAGCACTGCATGGACTCTGAGCACCCTGAGCCAGGATCCCTGAGCCCCTGAGCATGGCCAGATGTGGCCCCAAAACAAAACAGATTTGGTTGGTGGATCCCCCGAGACCATGAGCTGCTTCACTGATCTCCTGGGGTGAGGGCGGGGGTTGGCCTCTATGGAAAAGCTGGTGGTTAGGGCTGTTGCTGAAAGGTGGGGTCCCCTGGGGCAGACCCGGGGTCCCCTGGGGCAGACCCCAGCAAGGGGAGATGACTTCGAGGTGGGGCAGCTCACATCACAGAGGCCAGCAGGTGCCAGTTACTCTCATGGCTGGCTCTCACGAGCTGGGCCCTGTGGAAGCGAGCACAGCAGGGGCTGCAAGCTGCTGATGTGGTGGTGCTGGCCTGGACAGCAGCCAGGGGTGACAGGGTGATGCTGGGAAGGACGATTGCTAGGACGCAGGGTGAGGAGACAGGCGGAGCCTCAGGTGGGAGCAACTCCACTTCGGAGGCCTTCACAGAACTGCTGGGTACCAATTAGAATCTAAGATTAGCACCGAAGTCAAAACACCCAGACCTTAAGGGACCAGGAAGAACTGGCACAGCGATCCCCCAAGACAGCGAAAGTTAAGTCACGGCCTCTGTCAAAACACCCCGAGACTCAGACATAGCGCCCAGACCTGGTCGTCCTTGGGTGAAAGGGCGGGGGGCCCTGTCAGGAGGGGTCTGAGCGGGAGCGGGAAGAACGGAGCCGCTGGAGAATGAAAGTGGTTTTTAGATGCTCTGAGAAAACTACCAAGGTGTGCTAAAAGCAAGGTACTGGCAGAGCCCCGCTCACCAGCACAAGATGGGGAGCTGCGTGGAAGCAAGTGGGGACCTGGGACTTGGCATTTCTCTAAGAAACTGAGTGATCCTGGGAAGGGGAATGCACACAGGCTTGTGCTTTGGAAGAGGGCGCAGAAGGCAGGATCCTGGGAAAGATGCAGGCGGCTGTGCCGGCTCTGAGGCCAGGCCTGGGCAGGAGGCCCGAGTGGGGAAACGGAGAATCACTTCAGTGCCAGCTTATTGTGAAGGGCGCTGTGCACATGCGGCCCTCTCTTGACGTGGCCCACCTGCCCGACAGAGAGCCAGGTCAGTGAGGAGCCCCAACCACCGGTTCCTGGTCCCCAGCTACAGCAGCAACCGCTGGGAGCTGTGTGGGAGGGTATCGTGGTGGCCGTGCCAGGTGACACACGTGGTGGGGGAGAGCCAGGATGCCCTCAGCACTGTCAGGGGTCAAAGGGTCTGCAGCCTCTTGGTGTGGAGCATCCTGGGCCCCCCAGTAAGACACACTTCCGTCCTGTGCTCTGGATTGTGTCTTACTGGGGACAGGCGAGCAGGCTTAAAAGCGCTCACTTTTTCTCTGGGGACGGACCATGCTGCTGGTCACTAAATGCCTGGTCCAGAGCTCGGGGCGAGAGCAAGAGGTGCTTCCAGGGACACTCCTGGCCAGCAGTGTGTGATTTGTCACTTCCTGGGTGGGGAGGCCCATGAGCCCCCATTCTCCAGTGGACTTGGGCAGCTCTCCCTGGAGTGGCCTGGCCGGTGGAGAATAGGGCAGCAGTCCCAGTGACCTGAGGCTTAAGATCAGGGAGGGCAGGGCACTAACTGAAAGCCCCTGCTTTTACACAGCCTTTTTTTTTTTTTGGCTTTTTGGGTCACACCCGGCAATGCACAGGGGTTACTCCTGGCTCATGTGCTCAGGAATTACTCCTAGCGGTGCTCGGGGGACCATGTGGGATGCTGGGACTCAAACCCGGGTCAGCCGTGTGCAAAGCAAACACCCTACCCGTTGTGCTATCGCTCCAGCCCCAGGTCTCTCCTTTTTAATCTTGGTTTTGGGCCACATCCAGCTGTGCTCAGGGCTGACTCCTGGCTCTGTGCTCCGGAATCAGCCCCACAGGGCCCGGGGGAGCCATACATGGTGCTGCGGTTGGCCCTGTGTAAGGAAGGCACCCTATCACCCGTCCTCTCTCTCCCACCTTGGGGAGATGGGAAGGGCTGGGGGTAGCTTTCAGTTACAGGACACCTCTGGGACCAGGAGGAAGGTGCCCCAGGAGTGGGAGACCCTAGCCTGACCCTGGCACGAGTGTGCAGGCAACAAGAAGGGCTGGCTTTCGTCCTCTTGGGGCCCCGGCGGCTTCAGGCGGGGGTGCTGGTACCGTTGCCCCCTGCAGCTCTCCCACCCCTTGTCCTGCCCCCAAGTCTGCTACTTCTGACTGCCTGAAGTGTCCCAGGAGGCACTGCAGGGGATGGAGCAGACAAGGTCTGTGAACCTGACAGAAGCTTCTGGCCGGGCCACCACAATAATCCCTGCACATTTCCAGGCAGCCCAATCTCACTTCTGTTCTAGCCAAGAAACCTTAGTCACCCATTAGATGTGATTGTTTTGCTACATTTGTGGCAACTTTCTTAGAAACTGGCAATTGAAGAAACTTGTCAAATCCCAGCCCTGGTTTTGGGTTTGGGAAGCTTTCTCCTTCGACGTGGGGGAGGGGCCTATTCTTCCAGCTGGGGAGCCCCGGTGTGCCTGTGTGCGGCCCTTGGGCAGGAGAAACCCTGCAAGTCTGCCACAGAGGACAGAGTGGGCCGAGGGCTTTCCCCAGGGCCGATGGCCAGGCCAGGCTCCCGCCCTGGAGTCCTACAGGGATCCAGAGAGACAAAGCAGCAGCAACGGTCACCAGCAGCTAGGGGGGCAGACAGCCCACCAGCTCTCGCTGGTCCTCTTCTCTGTCCCAGGTGACCCGATTCCTGGCCCCCGCTGAAGAGACAGTTTCCTGGTTCTTAAGGAGTCTTGAAGCCAGTCCCTGGGGTGCCGGGACAAGCCTGAATATGGTCGGAATCTGAGCGCATTCAAGGGAGGGACCACAGCTTCCCACTTGGTTTTACCTCCAACTGTTGGGGTACTCTCAGATCCCCCTTGACGCCCCCTTTCTGCAGGCTGGCTGGGTTTCTGGCAGCCCTGCATGGCTGAACTAGGGAATGCGCCCAACAGTCTGTGTGGCCCGTGGCCCCTCCCTTGGGGCCTGCAGCTGTGCCACTTCTCTGATCCTGTCTGGACTCCCGCGGCGCTGCCCTCCCGAGCCGCCGAACACACTTCACCCACTGGTCTCCTGCGCAGCCTGGTCTTGTCATTTTCCAACGCGCAGTCGTTGCCATAGAGACAGCTGCCCCTCCATCTCTGCGGGGGGCACCAGGCCCGGGATACCCAGATCCACAGATGCTCGGGTTTCTCATTTGGAACGGTGTGCCATTTACACACGATTCACACTCGGGCACCCGGGTACTTCACAGCAGCTCAACTTACAGCACCTGATCCAATGTAAATGCTAGGCTAACTGCCGGACGCTCCTGTGTGGGGACTGACGTGAGGAGGAAAAGCCCGGACATGCTCAGGGTGGACTCAGCCCCAGAGGCCAGACTCGTACGCCACGAGTTTGCCTGGTGGAACCGGAGCACGCGGAACCCGCAAAGGAGACCCAGCTGATCATCTTGGCCCTCTTGGTCATCTTGGCTGACCAGCCTGAGCTTTCCCTCACCTCTTCTCGCCCTCTGGGTCAGCTACTCGACTTGCACTCGGTCCTCCCACCCAGCCAGCAGCCCCAGCCCCCCTAGCTGGCACTGTCCTCTGTTTTGTTGCTTTTGGAGGAAGGGCCACAGCCGGTAATGCTCAGGGGATCATATGGGGTGCCAGGGATCAAACAAGAGCCAGCCATGTGCAGGGCAGATGCCCTCCCCGCTGTACTCACACCGTACTGTCTCTTTGGCCCCTCAAGCCACGTGCCACCAGCCCTTTTTCAAACCATTTTGAACGGAACCGTCTTTGGCGGAGCTTGTTGATCTCTGACGGGCCCTCAGCTCCCCTCTGAGCTTCAATGTGGTGTTTCCTGGCCGGTGTCCCTGTGGCCAAGTCATTCAACCAGGAGTTGGTTGGTACTTGCTAAGCCCATTTTCTCAGTTACTTGGAGAAGTAGAAGAAAAACAGACTCCCTCCAGGTCCGTCAATAAAAGAGCTAAAAACCAGCACTGCGAGGGGTGGGGCAGAGGGCCCCAGAAGGATGTTACGAAGGTAGGATTACAGGCCAGAGAGACAGTACCGGAAACACAGCAGTTGCCTTGCATGCTGCTGGTCTGAATCCCTAGTACCACATATGGTCCCCTGAGCACCACCAGGTGTGGCCCAAACCCTCGGCCCCCAAAAGAAAAGTGTTTGAAAACATGATTAAAAATTGTTTGGAAACTCATTTCAGTCAGGAACTATGAAAGGCACTTTCCTGTGTCCCTTCTCTAGTTAGGGGAGGAGTTTATAGCATGACATTCCTTCAAGAGTTTTAAGAGGCTGACCAAAAATAAGACAAGACATGAGAAAATACACTTGAGTCAAGTAGACACCAGAGCGATAGCACAGCGGGTAGGGCTAGCTGTGCACACGGCTGACCAAGGTTCGATCCCCAGCACCCCACATGGTCCCCTGAGTGCAGAGCCAGAAGTAAACCCTGAGCACTGCCAGACGTGTCCCCTGCCCCCCGCCCAAATGGTCAGTAGTTAGGCAGTTGTGGCCAGTGTACCCTTAAGAAGCCTGTTTCCGCCTCAGAAAATGGGAAATAGCCTCTACTCCAGGGGCCTCTTTAGATTAAGTGACTGAGGCAGGACACTGTTCAGTTGTTAGCCTGCAGAAGACTAGCGCGTTTGTTGTCATTACGTTTGCCCTCTCCTTCAAACCCAGTGTGAAAATGTTCCCCACGGAAGACCAACGCAAGGATGGGCCTCAGAACGGAATCGGAGGCCGCACAGCGGGAGGACACCCTGCAGGGCAAGCTCAGAGCTGCACGCCGGCCCACAGGCACAGGTGGCCCCAAGACAGCAAAGCTCAGCACTGGACTCAGGCAAGGCTTCCTGCTCTGTGGCTGGGGTCACTTCCGGCAGGCAGCTCCCTCCCTCCCTCCCCACGGAAGGTCCTGCGCGACCCTTCTCTTTCCCAAAAGGCCACTCGCCTCTTGGCAAAACCCGGGGGTGCTGAGGCACACATGAGCGGCCGTGGCTGCTCACTTTTCTTCTGCAGAAGGGGAACCCGGAGGCTGCCTCTGAACAGGCTCTGGAGCCAGCAGCCAGTCCAGCCCTGGGACCCTCGCGTGGCCCATCCTTCTCCCGGCTCAGTGTGGCTCCCCCCGGGACGACCCTGCCCCCCAGCACGCGCTGCCACCCGGATGCCGGAACTGCCGCCGCCCCCACCCAGCAGCTGGGGCTGCAGGAACAGCAAGGGCGCCGGAGAGCTGCAGATTCGGCTGGAAACTGCTTTTATTGACCGGCCTCTCGGTGCGTGGCCAGGCGAGTGTCTTCGAGCTCTCACTTCCCCCAGCAATACCCCAGACAACCGAACACCTGCTGCAGGGGCGCCCGGCCTGGCTTACCTCTGACAGGGCCCAGCTCCCGCTGGCTGACCTTCTGGGCGCCGGAGCCCAGGCCTGGCAGCCCCGGGGGCCGGAGGCCATGGAAAGGGAAGCTGGGGGAGCTCTTCATCTGCGGGGAGTCCTGCTGGCTGCCGCCGGCACTGGTGCCGGTGCTGAAGCTGCGCGTGCGGCTCAGGGTGTTCTCGGAGCCGGTGACGGGCAACCCGCTGCAGAGAAGCAGTGCCACTGAGCCCTGGGTCCGGGCGGCAGACCCCCAGCTGGCTGCTCCGTACCGCCCCTCCGTCTCGGGGGAAAGGGCACAGGGACCCGTTTGGAGGAGGAGGTGGTGGGGATGAAGTAGGAACCTGGCATGGGCACAGCAGCAGGAGCAGCGCTGGGAGCCCTAAGGGCAGTTCAACTCTGGGCACTTGCCCCAGGCCACCCTCCTGCCCAGCTGCTGGCCCCGGAGACCCTGTCCCTCAGCCCGGAAGCTGAGCAGCCCCTGGGGTTCTGTGTGTGCAGGGCTCCGAGGCGCAGGTGTGTGGGGCCGGGGCCCCCACTCAACCCCAGCCAGTTCTCCTGGCGTGCGCGCCGTACCTGGCGTTCTTGGGCGGCGTCCGCGCGCCTCTCTTCTTGGCGAGGCCCAGGCCCACGGTGCTGCTCAGGCCCCGGCTGCTGCGCACGTGCCTCAGCATCCAGGCCCGCAGGTTCGTGAGGCTGCTGTGCTCCGACAGCACGATGCGGGGCCACGGGTTGCACTCGGCCATGTCCAGCGCCGCGATGGCCATTGCCCGGCCCACCTGCGGGGGAGTCCGGCGGGGGCTCAGGCGGCTGCTGCCCGGGAGCGAGCAGCCCTGCGCGAGGGCGGGCGGGTTCCGCCTCGGTCCCTAGGCTCCCTCTCTTGGGTTACGTATTCCCCCAAGTGGGTCCTGGGCTGGTCCCTAAACTGTCGCCCTTTGGGGGCCTCGGCCATTGTGCTGGGGCCGGTGTTTGTCCTCCTGGCTCCGGGACGGAATCCCCCAGGAGAAGGTGCCTGCCTGCCGCTATAAGCTACAGCTCTTTCTACCCCATGTGGTACCCTTGACCCTGGGAGCCAGTGCCCAATGCTGAGAGGGTGCTTGGTTTTGGGGTCACAAGCGGCGATGCTCAGGGGCATTTCCCAGCTTTTCACTCAGGAGTCACTCCTGGCTGTGCTCGGGGGACCATACTGGATGCCAGGGAGTGAACCCAGGTAGGCCACGTGCAAAACAAACACGCTATCCGCCCTGAGGGGGTGCTTCTGAACCCAGGAGAGGGGTCAAACACAGGGCAGGGGTGTGGGGGCAGCCAAGGCCAGAGGCAGACTGGCGCAGGCATGCAGGGGGTTCCCTGTGGCAGGCCTGCTCCATGGACGGCTGCTCCATGCACGCAGCCCACAGAACCACGAGGGAGAGGCCCGGCTCCCCGCTCCTGCCAGTCGGACCTGCTCAAAGAGCTCCACAGTGTATCTGGAGGGGAAGGCAGGCGGCGGCGGTGGGCTGGCGCGGCCATTGTCGTGGCAGGCGGCAGGGATGCTGTTCACCGAGCGGCCGGTGTTGTAGTTGCATTCAAGTGTGTAGCTAAGACACAGAGACCCCGGTCAGTGTCCTGTCTGGATGGAACTGGAGCAGAGCCCTGGGGACAGGCTAGGGCGGTCTAAGACGGTAACCCGTTAGGGAGAAGTGGACACAAGGAGCCAGTGCAAATCCCCAGCAACGGCAGCCAATCTCCGTCACCCGCCCAAGACATCCCCGAAAGGCCGAGTCTGAGGCTAAGGGTAGGAGCACTCAGGGGAGCCTGTGGCCGGAGGAGACTCCAGCTCCCCGGGAGCCAAGTCCTTGGGGGGTTCTATTTCAGCCGGTGCGACCCAGTTTCCGCCCAACCTGTGGATTATCCCTGAGGCTTTGTGGATGGCAACCCGGCCGCTGCCCTCTTTGGACTGGCCGTCTCTGCGATCTCGGGCATACATGTTCTTCTCTGAAAAATTGCAGCCCTGGAAGTCAAAGTGGGCTGAGTTCAAGGAGATGAGCTTTGGATACAGCATGTTTTCCACCTGTTCGACAGAGAAAAAAAGGCGATTCAGAAGATGAGGCAGAGAGCAGGGGCGAGGAGGAGGCAGCGAGCGCGAGGCGCAGGCAGCATTTCGGGGATGCTGAGTGTCTGACACTGTTCCCAGGTGCTGGAAGGCCCCGTTCCACCTCATTTGAACCCCGTGGCTTTTCTGCAGTAGCCCGGGCTTTCCCTTCTTCCCTGGCTTCCAACCCCCGGCAAGGGCTGACGCTCAGAGCCCGGCCCTCTCTCAAGGGCGACGGGCGAGGGCAGGGCTCACCCCGGCTCGAGGGCTGCTGGGCGGTCCGTAGCCCTCCTGCTGCCGGCCCCGGCCACCCAGGACCTTCTTCCCCTCACCTGCCCGTGCCCCCGCCCCCGTGGCGCTCTCTGGACCCCTACCTGGGTGCTCTCGTCACTGAAGCTGTTCCCGTACATGAAGCAGCCCCTCTTGGAAGCATGTCCGTGCAGGTCGACGTAGTAGGCGACCCCACTCTCTTTGGGGGGGATGTTGTCGGGGGCTGGCTGCTGACCCTCGGTGCCCGGCTGGGACACGATCCACACGCTGCTGGGCTTCTGTTCGGCGAGCGCGGGCGGTGGCCAGGCCTGGGCGTTCTCCCCGCCGGGGGCGCCCTCCAGGTGCGCTTCGCTTGCGCTTGCGAGCGAGCTGCTGGCTTTCTCCGGGTCCACGTGGGGCGCTCCGGGAGGGAGCTGGGGACTCTGCTGGTGCTCAGGGGCGTTCGGGGCGTTGAGACGCGAGTGCACGTGGTGGTAGAGGAGCACAGCTTTGGCCCCATAGATGGCGGGGTGCAGGACCGCGTCAGGCTTCAGGTACTGGCGGTTCAGATTCACCCCCCGCGAGTCTGTGCTGGAGGAGAACGGAAACGCGGGAGACAAGAGGCTAAGGGTGCGTTAGGGGAGGAGGAATGGAGGCCGGCCCCTCCCTGATCTGTTGCCAACCACCCCCCTGAAACTAGGGAGCGCCCCCTCCGCCCTCCAGCAAGTCCCTCTGCGGATGGTTGCCCGCTGGACAACAAGGCTTTACCGGGGCAGCGTCTCACCGGTAGTGGCCACGGACCACACCATCAGGGTTCAACATGGGGATCAGCTTAAAGACAAACAGGCGACGCAGGGTTTGGGCCCGGGGGTCATCAGGCCGAAGGATGAAGTCCAGAAAGCCATTGAAGACAAAGCTGGACGGGGTCTCCCCAGGGTGAACCCGACTGCTCAGGAAGAAGATCTGAGGCAGAGAGGAAAGCAGGCGTCAGGGCTGCCACCCCCCACCCCCGCCCCGACACTCAGGACACAGACGCCCGGTGCCCGGGACTGCGGGGAGCCGAGGCGTGCTGCTCCGTGACCCCACTGACCCTTTTGCCTGTGAAACAGTAAGGTCTGGGCGTGCTGGTATCAGGGAAGAGCAGCTCCAGGCGTGGCTCTCGGTCCTCGCGAAGCCCGTGGCAGGAGCTGATGGTCAGCAGGTCTACACGCAGCCCGTCCAGAGAGTAGCAGAGCGTCTCCCGATGGTAATAGATGGTATCCAGAGGGCTACACGGATGCAAATCGTCCGTTAGGGAAAGACCCTCCGGGGCAAGCAGGAGGTGGGCCTCGGCAGCAGCCCAGTTTGTCGGGCCCTTCACCTCAACCGCCGCCACAAGGCTGGGCAGCCAGAGTGCAGAGCCCAGGGCGGGGCAGCGGAGGGCTGCTCCCCGGTTGTGGCTCCCTAGGATGGGTCACTGGCGCCTCAGAGGAAGGGCGCGCGGAGTCACGGCAGTGCTGGCCAGGGACGGGGAAGCTGCCCCACGCAGGGCAGGACCACACTGCACCAGGGCGGGTGGGGGAGGGCAGGGACAGTGAGGGAAGCTGATGTCAAGGTCACACAGAAACACGTCGGTCAAAGGGTCCTAGAGTCCCGTATCCCGACAGAGGAGAGAGGTGCTGAGGTCGGGCTCAGGGCTCTGGGGGCTCGTTCTAGAAATGGCAGATGGCCAGTCAGCGCGGTCCGGGGGGGAAGGGTGGGGGCGGCACCTGCTGTGGGGGGGGTGGCTTTCCAGGAAGCGCTGGTCGAGTTGGTTCAGCAGATCCTGGCAGTCGCTGTAGGAGAAGGGGTAGCAGAAGGCGAAGAAGGTGGTGGCCCCGCGGCCTTCTAGGAAACGGTGAACAAAGGATAACACAAACTGCGTCTCTGTCATCTGAGGAGCAGAGGAGGGAGGGGCAACAGGCCAGGGGGGTGAGAACGAAGGTCCGACCGGGAGCAGCGGAGCTGACCTGACGCCCTCAGCGCACGCGCCAGCTGCCCCCCCTCTGCCACTCCACAGACACCCAGCAGGCGGGGGACACGGGCCCCGGGCGCTGCCCCCCACCCTGACACCCTGGCCCCGGGCACACATCTCCGCCTCCCTCTCCGGGGCGGAAGTGCCCAGGTCTGCGTTTCCTCCTCTCGGAGAACTCACCTCAAAGGTGGGCCGGTCTCGGACCCGCTCCCAGCGCGGCCGGGTCGGCACTGTGCGCACAAACGGGGCCATGCCCTGGGAATAGAGCTTGCTCTGCTTGTTCATGTTCATGATGTTGATCTTGATGAGTTTCCCTGGCGTTCCTCCCCGGACGCTGAAGTAGAACCAGGACCTGCGGGCGCGGGAACAGGAGGAGGGGAGCCAGGAGGCGGGGGGCTGCGATGATGAACCGCACTGCAGAGGACGACCAGGGGGAGGGGTCAGCCTTCCTGCGCCCCCCCCCCTCCACGGATTGCTCCTCTTACCGGTTCCCATTCTCAAACTCCGTCTCCGCACAGTCTGGCCGGGTCCACACGTTGAACTCATAGTCGGGGGAGCTGAGGCTGCTGGCGGGAGCCGCCACCCCGCCTGCTGCTCCTTCCCCATCGCTGGACACAGACTCCACCTTCTCCACGTGCGCGAGGTTCCCCGAATCAAAGCGAGAGCTGAACAGCAGGCCCCCACAGCGCAGCTCCATGATGGGGCCGGGGACGCATCCTCCTGCCCCGCTCTGGCCCTGAGAGCTGCAGAAACGGACCGGCATGAAGGAAAACAAGCTTTGGATCAATGAGGGCTCCTGGGGGGGGGGGTGCCTGTCCTAAGGAGCAAGAGGTTTTGTCCCTCTTAGAAGAGGCTGAAACAGGCATCCAGATGAGATGGGATCAGTTTAGTTCCCACACTAGGGACGGGGGTAATTAATAAATGTTAAAAAATACAACCTGAGGGACCAGAGTGATAGTACAGCGGAGCGGGTTAGGGCGTTTGCCTTGCACGCGGCTGACCCGGGTTCGATCCCCGGCATCCCATATGGTCCCCCGAGCAATGCCAGGAGTGATTCCTGAGTGCATGAGCCAGGAGTGACTCCTGAGCATCGCTGGGTGTGACCCAAAAAAGCAAAAATAAATAAAATAAAAACACAACCTGAAAGGGCCGTTTCGCTCTCGAGTGGTTATTACAAAATTACTCCATGGCATCACGGTGTGGAGAAATTCAGCCTGCAAGTCTGAGTCAGGTAGCCCCCCACCCCCAAGGCTGTTCATCCTCACAGGTGGGCCATGCTGCATCTCTGGTCCCTGGATTGCCACCCCCCGCCCCACCCCTTCCAGGTCAGAAGAGCAGAAAGACCCCCGTGCCAGTTCCTCCTCCCCTGTGTCCCGCGCCTGCCCTGCTGAGCCCGGGACAGGCTGGTTCCTCTCTCCCCGCTACTGCCCTGTGCCTCGTAGGGGAGCACAGGAGGCAACGCGTGGCCTCCGCCAGGCCAAGGGGGACGGAACAAGAGCCACCTGCTCACCTAAAGACAGACGGCCGCTCAGTTCCAGCTAGGGCAAGGGTCTTCATCCAAGCCCACCCCCGGCCTGTAGGCACTGGGGCCCCCCGGAAAGAGCTACTCGAGTAGCCGCGCGTGGGAAAGGGGCGCTCTCAGCGCCCCGGGGAAAGTGGCTGGTGGCGTCCCACGGGGGGCGGCCGCGGGGCTTCTCGACCCCCCACTCCCAAGGCCCCTCCATCCATCGGCCCAGGGCAGGAGGTCGTCTGGAGGTGCGGGGAGGGGTCGAGGCCAACTCACAGCGGGCGGGCGCAGAGGAGGAAGGCGGGGCCGGGGTCCGAGGGGCAGCTGCGGGGTGAAGGGGGTGCGGCTGCGGCGGGGGCGGGGGGCGCCGGGGCTGGGGGCGGGAAGGGCCGGCCGGGCCCGGCAAGGGGCGGGATGGGGGGTTCGGGGGGTGGGGGGGCTCGGGGCCGAAAGGGGCTAGAAGGGGGCGGGGCCGGCGGGGCCCGCGCTCCACGCAGAGCCCCTCACCTCTCTCCGGGCCGGCGATCCCGCGCCCTCTCCCGCTAGCGAGGCGCCACCTCGGGCCCCGGCACCCGGGCCCTCCACCCAGGACCCAAACAAAACCCGAGCGCCGCGGCGCCGGGACCCCGCTCTGCCAGGAAACAAGAAGGCCCGCGCCGATTGGCCGCCGCGCCGGCCGGCGACCCGCCCAGTAAGACGCGCTGCCATTGGCCGGCGCGCCGGGACGGCCGCGCGCCCGAGCAGGTAGCGGGGCGCGAGCGGGCGCGGGGGGCTCGGCCGGCGGGCGCGGCGGGCGCGGCGGGAGGGGGTCCGCCAGCGTCGCCCGGGCCGGACGGTTAACGGCCCGCAAGCCCCGGGCCGGGAGAGGGCCCAGCGCCCACGACCGAGGGAGGTGGGAAAAGACGCACCTGAGAAATAAAAGGGCCGTGCACGGGTGCGAAGGAGGCCGCCAGTGGCGCCGGCGGGCCCCCCGCCCCGAGCAAGCCTTAAACGCCCACCCACTCCGGAGACCGGCCCCACCGCGCTTCAGAGCGGACGCGTCCCGCGAGGGGCAAAAACCGAGTGGAGGATGCGGGCATCGATCCCGCTACCTCTCGCATGCTAAGCGAGCGCTCTACCATTTGAGCTAATCCCCCAGCTGCGAGCGAGTCTCTTCCCTTTGCCTTACAGGCTGTTCGGGGCCGTCCGCGGACCACGAGCAGAGACGCGGTTCGGGGCGTTTAGCGATCGCCGCGACCCGGGGCGAGACGTTTTCAAGCAAGCGTACAATCCATTCATTACACACGAGCGATAATTAAAAAAAAAAAAAAAACCATTTAAAACTCACCCCTTGCGGCTCCCCTCGCGAGCCCGGTTCATACCTGCTTCACTCCACATCTGCAGCAGAGCTCATGGCAAATTCACAGGCAGCGCCTAGGTCAAGGCTCCCGGCCGGGAAGCTCAATTCCAGCGAAGGGCTAAAAAGGTTGTACGAAGTCCTTCGAGCCGGAATCGAACCAGCGACCTAAGGATTGCCACGGCTCCACCACTACAGTCCTCCGCTCTACCAACTGAGCTATCGAAGGCCCCGCTGCTCCCGGTGGCTACCGATGTCCTTCTAAAGCTTCCAGGCGCCGGGTACTCGCCCCCCCCCCCCCCACCTCCTAGAGGCGCGCCCCTGCCCAGCCCCTGCAGACCGCGCTGGACAAAGGAGATCCGGGAGAAGTGCGAGCCAGGGAGCCGCCGCCGCCCGACCCCGGACGAAGAGAACTCGGGGCGCCACCGTCGGTCGCCCCGAGTCTCCCTGCTCTTCGCTACAACCTGCAGAAGGGCCCCCCGGGCCGACCCCCGCGCCCGCGCCCCGGGGTCCGTAGGGCCGGGGGTGCTCGGAGCGCCTGCGCCCCGCACTCTCGCCGCGCTCTGCAACGAGCCGGCTGGCTGCGAGGCCCCCTCGCCAAGCCCGCGGCTTCCTTTCGCCTTCTCTGCGCCGCCGCCCCCCGGGTTTCTTGGGGGGCGCCCACGAAAGCCCACCCCCGGGATGACGGAGGACCAGCCGTGCGTCGCCGGGCTTGCGGGTGTCGGGGATCGCTTGGTCCCGACCCGCGCCGGAGAGATGCCCCCGCGCCCGGCTGCAGGCGGCGAGGCGGGCAGCCCCGGCGGCGCCCGCCGCCCACCCGCGCGCCCCTGCCGGCCCCTGCCCCGCCCACCCCTCCCCGGTCTCTTTCCGGGCTCCCGGGGGTCCGTCGCGCGGGGCCCGGGCCCCACGGGCAGCGGCGGGGCGAGGGGGCGCGCAGGGGTGCGCGCAGGAGGGACCCGCGACCCTCTGCAGCTCGGGCCGGCTCCCTGCGCCTCCTGCAGGGCGCGCGGGCACGGGCCGGGGACCGGTACCGAGCTGGGTACCGAGCTCTCGGCTGTGCGGGTGCCGGTGCGCCCTTGGCTGGGGTCCGCAGTCCTCCGGGGCACCCGGCTCGCCCCTCGGCCTCGGCCTCTCGCGCCCAGCTGGGACGCAGCCGTGCTAGAATTCCGTTTTCGTGGCTTTTGGTTGAGATGAGTCCGCATGACTAAAATGCAGCGAACCGTTTTCAAAGTGGGCACGATTGAGGGGCACTGGATACGTTCCGAATGTGCAAATGTCACCTCTCCAGTTAAGAACTCTCAGAATATCCCTCCCCACCCCCAGGTCGCATACCTTTTGTTCACTCGCCACCACCCACCCCCACGCCGCCTTTTCAGAGAAATCACCAACTCTCTGCTTCCTGGCATTGTCTCTTCCGGAAATTTCATGAAAGAAATCAAGAAATCCGTGGCCTTCTGTCCGATTTCTTTCATGATGATGTTTTTGAGACCCGTTCAAATTGTGGCCTCTATTAGTACTCAGTCCCTTTTGAAAGATGAATAATATTCCACCGTATGGATCTGCCACTTCGTTTATCCACTCATGTTGGACAGCTGGGCTGTGCCCACTTGTGGCGCTGTCTGATCGTTGTGCCTGAGTTTCCTTGTGGACAGAAGTTTGCATTTCTCTTAGATATACACTTCAGAGTGGAATTGCTGGCTCAGATGATAATGACATGGTTATTAACTCTTTAAGGAACTTCCACACTTTCTTTCTGAGATGGAGGCATTTTAAATTATCCTTTAAAAATTATAAACTAAGGGGGTATGGTGCCGCCAGCAGGTCAATCTGTACCTGTGAGGCGAGTGCATCAGTAGCCTCATGGCGCCTTCAGACTTCCAGATACCCCAAAATTGCTGCTGTGCCTTTGGCCAGACCCCAAAAACTTGGGGCAAAGTTTACCAAGAAAGTAAATGGCCAAAAGTTAGGTATGTGGGAAACACACCCACAAACCACCTCCGGCTCAGCTATATAATTGGAGGCAAGGCCTCTTTGGTTCCTGATTGAACTGCTTAATGGACATGATCCCAGAGACTCAGAAACGAATCTCAGAACCCAGTGGCTTTAGGTAGAAATGCGTCTGGTCTCTGCAGTAGGCTACCGGTGCTGGGCCAACCCAGGTGGGAATAGGTTTTGTGCCTTGGCCTACTCCCCCTGGCGGCCCAGTGGCCGCCATCCGTCTGAGGCCACTGGATAGTCACATTTGGGCCCCCAGTGACGAGACACACAGGGCCTCACGGGATGAGGGTGGAGCCGGGCTTGTCCTCCCCACCCCAACGAGACCCCAAGTCATCGCCCACGAATGGCCTCTCTGGCTCCTGATCAAGCTGCTTAACGGCCATGATCCCAGAGACTCAGAAACAAATCTCAAAACCCAGTGGCGTTTGGCAGAAATGCATCTGGACTCCACAGTACGTTACTGTCGCCTGGCCACCCCAGGGAGGAAAGGGTGTTGTCCCTCCGCCTGCTCCCTCTTGGCGACTTGGTGGCTGTCATCCTCCAGAGGCCACTGGACAGTCAGGCTTGGGCCCGCAGTGATGAAACTTGTTGGGTCTCACGGGATGGGGGGTAGGTGGAGCCGGGCCTGTCCTCCCCACCCTAACGAGACCCCAAGTCATCGCCCACAAACGGCCTCTCTGGCTCCTCATCAAGCTGCTCAACGGCCTTGATCCCAGAGACTCAGAAACAAATCTCGAAGCCCAGCAGCTTTTGTCAGAAATGTGTCCGGACCCCGCAGTAGGTTACTGTCACCGGGCCACCCCAGGGGGGAATGGGTGCTGTCCCTCCGCCTGCTCCCTCTTGGCGACTTGGTGGCTGTCATCCTCCAGAGGCCATTGGACAGTCAGGCTTGGGCCCGCAGTGACGAAACTTGTTGGGTCTCACGGGATGGGGGGGGGGTAGAGCCGGGCCTGTCTTCCCCACCCCAATGAGACCCCAAGTCATCGCCCACGAATGGCCTCTTTGGCTCCTCATCAAGCTGCTCAACGGCCATGATCCCAGAGACTCAGGAGCAGATCTCTAAACCCAGTGGCTTTTGGCAGAAATCCCTCCAGATTTAAGTGTTAAAATTTCAGAACTGCAATACCACATGGCCCTACTGCAGCCACACGACATCATATGTTATTCATAACCAGCAATAGAACACAAATTGTCTATTGTTGCCTTTTCAGCAGATCTGAGTGTTGGGGTAAAATCTTAAATAATGGTGGGTCTGGTGTCGAAATAGTGAATGTGATCAAAGTAGAGAGAGAGTAATGTGGAAATCATCTGCCCCACAGGCAGGGGGAGGGTGTGGGATGGGGGTATACTGGGATTTTTGGTGGTGGAGAATGGGCACTGGTGAAGGTACGGATGTTTCATTGTATGACTGAGACTTAGACCCAAAAGCTTTGTAACTGCTCTCACGGTGATTCAATAAATAAAATTATAAAAAATGGAAAAAAAAAGTAAGGTGGAGTTCATGCACAATTCAATCAGCTAATCAGTGGCTGAATAAATAGCAGCACTCCTACAAAAAAATTATAAACAAATATATATAGATGCAGATCAATGGTGCTTGTCTTGCACATGATCCACGAGGATTCGATTCCCAGCATCCCATATGGTTCCCTGAGCATTGCCAGGAGTAATTCCTTAATGCAGAGCCAGGATTTAACCCCTGAGCACCATGGGGTATGGCCCCCAAACAAAACAAAACAGAACTTA